ACTCTCCCCACAGGTGCCGAGGTCATTCATTCCTCATCCACCCAGCCCTCACCCTAACTCCCCCAACAGGTCAATACAAGCTTTGCCTTTGAGGAACAGGGAGGGGAATTCGTGTTAAGGGTTAGTGTATGACCGGTAGGAAATGATTAATAATGGCAGATATGATTACAGGACTTGACTCATGTTTGAAATGGGGAATGTTACTTAAAACTGATGAGGGCGTGGATGACACATGGCTCTGCAGGGGTTTCCTCGGAGGGGGAGGGGGTGAGTCATCACTTGACCCACTCCAATACCGAGCATGTCATTCTCACACACTCAGAGTATCCAGCACTTTACATGTTTTTCAAGGCCTGTCAAAGGGTCAGGGCAGGAGTTCAAATAAAGCACAGCCTGGCCTACTCCTGGGACACATTGTACAGTACCACTGAATAACAGTATTGACCATTGAGGTCCCATTAGAGTAGCAGAGATATACAGTACCAGTCAAAGGTTTGGACACACCTACTCATTCAAGGGTTTTTCTTTATTTGTACTATTTTCTACATTGTAGAATAATAGTGAAGACATCAAAACTATGAAATAACACATATGGAATCATGTAGTAACCAAAAAAGTGTTAAACAAATTCAGATTCTTCAAATAGCCACCCTTTGCCTTGATGACAGCTTTGCACACTCTTGGCATTCTCACAACCAGCTTCACCTGGAATGCTTTTCCAACGGTCTTAAGGAGTTCCCACATATGCTGAGCACTTGTTGGCTGCTTTTCCTTCACTCTGCCGTCCGACTCATCCCAAACCATCTCAATTGGGTTGTGAAGGCCAGGTCATCTGATGCAGCACTCCATCACTCTCCTTGGTAAAATAACCCTTACACAGCCTGGAGGTGTGTTAGGTCATTGTCCTGTTGAAAAACAAATGATAGTCCCACTAAGCCCAAACCAGCTGCAGAATGCTGTGGTAGCCATGCTGGTTAAGTGTGCCTTGAATTCTAAATAAATCACAGACAGTGTCACCAGCGTAACACCTCCTCCTTCATGCTTTACGGTGGGAACTACACATGCGGAGATCATCCGTTCACCCACACCGCGTCTCACAAAGACACGGCGGTTGGAACCAAAAATGTCCAATTTGGACTCATCAGACCAAAAAACAAATTTCCACCGGTCTAATGTCCATTGCTTGTGTTTCTTGGCCCAAGCAGGTCTCTTCTTCTTATTGGTGTCCTTTAGCTCAGCTGGTAGAGCACGGCGCTTGTAACGCCAAGGTAGTGGGTTCGATCCCCGGGACCACCCATACACAAAAAAAAAAAATGTATGCACACATGACTGTAAGTCGCTTTGGATAAAAGCGTCTGCTAAATGGCATATTATATTATATTATATATTATTAATTCGACCATGAAGGACTGATTCACACAGTCCCCTCTGAACAGTTGATGTTGAGATGTGTCTGTGACTTGAACTCTGAAGCATTTATTTGGGCTGCAATTTCTGAGGCTGGTAACCCTAATGAACTTATCCTCTGCAGCAGAGGTAACTCTGGGTCTTCCATTCCTGTGGTGGTCCTCATGAGAACCAGTTTCATCATAGCGCTTGATGGTTTTTGCGACTGCACTTGAAGAAACTTTCAAAGTTCTTGAACTGTTCCGTATTGACTGACCTTCATGTCTTAAAGTAATGATGGACTGTCGTTTCTCTTTGCTTATTTGAGCTGTTCTTGCCATAATATAGACTTGGTCTTTTACCAAACAGGGCTATCTTCTGTATACTCCCCCTACCTTGTCACAACAAAACTGATTGGCTCAAACGCATTCCACAAATTAACTTTTAAGAAGGCATGCTTGTTAATTGAAATGCATTCCAGGTGACTACCTCATGAAGTTGGTTGAGAGAATGCCAAGCGTGTGCAAAGCTGTCATCAAGGCAAAGGGTGGCTATTTGAAGAATCTCAAATATAACATATATTTTGATTTGTTTAACACTTTTTTGGTTACTACATAATTCCATATGTGTTATTTCATAGTTTTGATGTCTTCACTATTATTCTACAATGTAAAAAATAGTAAAAATAAAGAAAAACTGAGTAGGTGTGTCCAAACATTTGACTGGTAGTGTACATGTAGAGCCTAATTGCCCTCACAGTTTACAGTATGAATGTCAGCGAATATCCTTAAACCTTCCTGCTCTACTGTAATGTGGGCATGAATAGGATACAGGCGGACGGGTGTCACATTGACTTGTTAAAGCCAGCAGCTTCAGGAAGAAAGGAGGCTATAGAGCCACCTGTGCTGCCCACCTCGGCTTCACTCCTCTCATTTAGGTCTTTTTACTTCCCCTGAGTGAATGAAGTAAAAAGGGCACGTAATTTCCCTCTGACTGCACAGCAGGTCTTGGCCCCTCAGGCATGACCAGTATTGTTCCTCAAAGTTCTCCTGTCTGGAATGGACCAGGTTCTCTACTCCTGCAGCCACTGGCAACACACACGCATGCACGCCACGCATATACACACAATTTTCTTAGCTCTAAATCTCGTCTTCTCCCTGTAAACCAACAACTCCAGTAATGCCAGAGCCCAGTCCAGACCTCTTCAGCCGCACTTTGATATTTCCTGGGAAATCAGCACTCACTACCAACAAATCACAATCTGTTTGCAAGTGTCTCTGAAAGGCTAGTCTGGGGATTCTATGAGGTCAACCATTGAGGTCCTGCACTCATAATAGGCTTTCTCTAGAACAAATAGAAAATGGAACTGATGTGTATCTTTTTTCCTGTATGAAAATGCATCAGCACAATGGCACATTCACCCACTACTTTAGCTATTCAAAGATTAACGTTTAACCAAAGCTTTCTATCGCCAGGCTCTCGATACCAATTGACCCTTACAATTTAACCATACGATCAGCCATTATGTTAACATTAACCTGTCTCCCATGATTTATGTTTGACTAAAATGATGGGGCGAGACTCTTCACAGCACAGCATGGTCTTATACTTAGCCTAAATGACTGAACCTACAGCTGCATGATACTACACACCCTAAGTGCCATTGATATCTCTTGCAATCCGTCAACCAATGCGGACACACCAGACACAAACAAAACAGTGGTACAAAGATCCTATACTAGCCATTATACAGTGGGGGAAAAAAGTATTTAGTCAGCCACCAATTGTGCAAGTTCTCCCACTTAAAAAGATGAGAGAGGCCTGTAATTTTCATCATAGGTACATGTCAACTATGACAGACAAATTGAGAAAAAAAATCCAGAAAATCACATTGTAGGATTTTTAATGAATTTATTTGCAAATTATGGTGGAAAATAAGTATTTGGTCACCTACAAACAACAAAGATTTCTGGCTCTCACAGACCTGTAACTTCTTCTTTAAGAGGCTCCTCTGTCCTCCACTCGTTACCTGTATTAATGGCACCTGTTTGAACTTGTTATCAGTATAAAAGACACTTGTCCACAACCTCAAACAGTCACACTACAAACTCCACTATGGCCAAGACCAAAGAGCTGTCAAAGGACACCAGAAACAAAATTGTAGACCTACACCAGGCTGGGAAGACTGAATCTGCAATAGGTAAGCAGCTTGGTTTGAAGAAATCAACTGTGGGAGCAATTATTAGGAAATGGAAGACATACAAGACCACTGATAATCTCCCTCGATCTGGGGCTCCACGCAAGATCTCACCCCGTGGGGTCAAAATGATCACAAGAAGGGTGAGCAAAAATCCCAGAACCACACGGGGGGACCTAGTGAATGACCTGCAGAGAGCTGGGACCAAAGTAACAAAGCCTACCATCAGTAACACACTACGCCGCCAGGGACTCAAATCCTGCAGTGCCAGACGTGTCCCCCTGCTTAAGCCAGTACATGTCCAGGCCCGTCTGAAGTTTGCTAGAGTGCATTTGGATGATCCAGAAGAGGATTGGGAGAATGTCATAATTAGTAAAAATACATGTTTTAATAGTATAACATTAAGCCTTTATTACTCTTGCCCTGCATATCTAACTGATCTGATTATGAATGATTGACCTTGAGATTATTATTTTCTTCGACATATCAGATGACATGTTCAATCTCTCTAATGAGTGATGGTGGAATAGCTCTCTGTGAGAAATAATCCCCAGTGGAAATTGAGAGCAGCTTTCGAGCACACAGATCTGGGAGCAATTCCACCGCCTGAGAAACGCATAAAACCTCAGACGTTTTACAGCGAACACACGTAAAACACTGCACATAAAATGGATTCATTAACATTTTAAATATCAGTCATCAATATCAGAACTAGACAACCCATGCCAACACTTCTTGGACCCGATGTGAGGCAATTTTGGACATTTCTATCAACACATTGCCCCACATTCGAGTGAAAACAGAGATTTACTCAAAGTCTGCATTCACTCCGATTACTCTTGACAAGGCGAGGGCCTTGCGCCACGTCTGATGTGATTGCACATTTTCCCGCAGTCTACTGTAGAGACAGGCAAAACAAACCAACAGCCAACTGCACCGTTTCAAATATATTATATTAAAATGCTCTAAGTGATTCAACCCATTACACTGATGGATGGTGATAATGAAACTATATTCAGTTGATAAACAACAATAACACAGTCAAACCAGTAGGAGGGAGTCCAGTCTTAAGAGCGCTGGGAAAACTCTCACAGAGAAACAGTTGTTTTCACATGACCCTAATTGCTATGAAGAATGGGCTGAGGCCTCGCTGTCCTCTCTGGCACAGTGTGGGCCACCAGCAGAGTGCCTGTATGATTATTTACAGATGAGCCCTCCGACCAACTCAAGCTTTGTTTGACAGTATGCACCACTTCGACTCCACTACTAATAAACTGTGAGGAGCGTGAAACAAAAACAGATTGGAAGAGAGTGATGGCTTAACCAAACCATTTCAAGCATTCTCATAACATCAATATACAATAAATTGACACCAGTGTGGGTTGTCAACCACATGCTGCAGCTGAAGAGAGAATACTCACTGCTGGGGCCGGACAAGGTGGGGGGACTGCTTGACGGTCAGGGTCATCTGAGCCATGTTGCTGACAGGGACTGGGGCAGGGGCATAACCCTGCTGGGGGATGGGCACCTGCTGGGGAATGGGCCTCTGGGGCACTATGCTACGGCCATTGGTGTGTCCATTGGTGTGGCCGTTCCCTGGCTGCGCTGGGTTGGAAGAGGTGGGCATGGTCTTCTGTTCACATGCCTTGCCATTGGAGCCCGGCTTGCAGACACAGAGCAGGGGCCTCAGACACATTCCTCCATTCTGGCACTGGGGCAGGCAGTTGGCTGCAGCACAAAACATAGGGGGAAAAGAGAGAGAAAGAGAGAGAGTAAGAGGGCAATGTGTACATATTCACACACACGCACACTCTAGAAGCAGACATATCCCATGTTAAATGCCACTTCTATGATGTCGTCTCAGGGAGCCCTTTGGTAGCTACACTGAGTGTAAAAAACATTAGGAACAACTTCCTAATATTGAGTTGCACCCCCTTTTGCCCTCAGAACAGTCTCAATTCGTCAGGGCATGGGGACTCTACACAGTGTCGAAAGTGTTCCACAGGGATGCTGGCCCATGTTGACTCCAATTCGTTCCACAGTTGTGTCAAGTTGGCTGGATGTCCTTTGGGTGGTGGACCATTCTTGATACACACGGGAAACTGTTGAGTGTGAAAAACCTGCAGCGTTGCAGTTCTTGACACACTCAAACCGGGGCCTGGCACCTACTACCATACCCCATTCAAAGGCACAATCTTTTGTCTTGCCCATTCACCCTCTGAATGGCACACATACACAATCCATGTCTCAAGGCTCAAAAATCATTATTTAACCGGCCTCCTCCCCTTCATCTACACTGATTGAAGTGGATTTAACAGGTGACACCATTAAGAGATCATAGCTTTCACCTGGTCAGTCTATGTCATGGAAAGAGCTAATGTTTTGTACACTCAGTGTATATTAAGACATTGATTGAGGAAACTCAGTTAGGGGGGTTCATTTAGGTGCCATAGAGTCATTACTCAAACCAGAAGTAATGCACAAATTTGGAAAAAAGTATCATGAATTAATGCATTACCAAACATGGAGTTGTTTTTTTCCTGGTTAACAAATGAATTCTCTACAGTACTGAGCATTCATAATAAGCTTTCTGTCCTGCTTAAGGAAGAGGGACAGTAATAGAAAACAGTGACAGAATCTAAATGCCTCACAATCATGTCGGAGAAAAGTGTTCCCATGCCTCTCTCTCTGTCGTTATTAGCAGCCAATGTAAATACCACCTCCATGGTTCCTCACACTGTGAATATACCCCCACCCATCCCAAAGCTGAGAGTTTCGTGGTGCTTTACTCCAGCAGAGGCCCTGCAATCAATGACTGGAGTCCCTGGCGCAATAACATAATGTGTTGTGGTTTGGGGCATCAGAGAGAGGGACTGTGTGTGTGTATGTATGTATTTGGGTTTTTCTTAGAGTTGTTACAGGAGCCTTGCAGGTCGCCTGTAATTACACTGGGCTCTTTTCTCTAAAGGCACAGGACTGGGACTGTAATCTTTCAACTACAAAGCATTTTTCAACCACACACACACACACTTGCTTTCAGCTGAGCCAAAATGCCAGTGGGCTTCACGTGTGTGAAGTGTGAAAGGAAAGTGAGGGGTCTCTCTCTCCCCGGCCCCACAGGGTCCCTGAGATGGGGTTCCTGCTCCACACTCCTCATTAGCTCCTTTTGATTTGTGAAAGTGATTAATGAGAGTGAGAGCAAACTGCATCAAAAAGCAAGTCATGCACCACCCAAGACCTTGAAAAAAAAAAAATCCCTCTCTCTCGATGGGCATCTACAACTGGTTCACCACTGGCTCAACACTTTCTCCACCCCACTGAGCTATTCAGACACAGGAGACCTAATGAACACATGCTATGCAACAAGCAACCCCCCTTAGAAGCATCAGGGGGCGATCACATCACAGATTACATCACTCCTGCTGAGTTACGTTTTGGTTTCTACATACCCCACACTATAATTTTCCACTCTGGGGCGGCTTTTTTGCTTTCTTTTCCGAGTAACGGAAATTGTTTTCTTTTTTCGCCGATGTACCTTTGCAGGACCTGAGTAAGGCTGCCATCTGTTTGTGAATAGTTACTCTCAAGCAGAGGTAGGGCTACACAAGAACACTGTTCTGTGACAAGGGCACAGTATAAGTGATGCCGATTTAAGTGTTAGCTGGGGAGGGAAAATAAATCATTCAAAGTGACATTCCACTGATGAAACTACACCTTGGTGGACTCATTGGGAGCGCTGCTGGAATCTGCAAGGGTCTGTCATGGAATACTAAAATGTGTGTCTGTGTTTGGAGGGGAGGGGGTTCTCGATTGATGTGTACCCTTATAATAACTTTGTGTGTGCCTATATTTAAAAAAGGAGGGAGGGGGGCGGGAGTTAGGGAGGGAGGGAGTTAGGGAGGGAGGGAGGGAGGGAGGGAGGGAGGGAGGGACTACTCCCTCTCTCAGGAAATAATGTTCTAGTGCAGGTGTTACGGGATGTACCATTAGTTGAATAACCACCCATCCTACAGCCTGTCCACACCAATCCCTAAAGCCTCACTTATTCCCAAGGCAGCAGATGACCAAAAGTTTTTATTACGTGATCTATTTCTCACACACAAAGTTAAATTGGGTCTGAAATAGTGTTGCAGTTGTGTGAATACTGTGTTTGACAAGAAATAAAAGATTACTTTTTGATTGATGTCTTTTTCCTCACTCATGCTTTTACTCAATATAAACTGTGTCTGTCTACCCACCTCCTGTACAATATGTAGGACAGAGACAGAGCACCTGGCTACATTGCTGACTCAAGGAGTCTGGGCCTCAATGGCCATTTCTATCAATTACAGCTAATCATTGTGTTTATCGCTGGAGTTGACACAAGACCACACTGAATTCTGTTGCTGTCCATTGAATGAGCAGCAGCATTGTAAACTTCCAGCCAAGTGTCTGACATTGTGGTTCACTAAAGCATGTGGAGAGCCAAGTCGATTAAGACATTCCTGTTGCCATGGTATTGTGCCCATACTTGGTCCTCACCCCACTTAACTGCTGCTCCAGATCCAGGGCCTCTGAATAGGCACTGTATAATGACAGCAGCCACAGACGTTCCCCTCAATCAGCAGACTAATCATAAATCACCAGGTGCTGGGCTGAGATGAACACTGCTCTATTTCCTCCATCTCTCTTGTCACACATTTCCATTGTCTAAGAATGGACTGATTTCCCTGATTTATTATGCAGCTTTTCAAAAGAGTTTCTCTGCCTCTTCCAATAGGCTATAGTTCTAATTCTCCTCTTGGACTAGTCTTGTGAGCGCTACAGCATCTTTAAATTACCCTCAACTAAGGATGAGGAACAAGTGTACAAAAACACCTTTGTGAGTCCATCCCATCCACTGCAGTATCTGGCTGCCTCATTTGCTTTCAACATCCTGTGCTGTCTTTTAGGGACACGCAAGGCAAAGCATGAGACCGCTTAAAGGCACAGCGCAGTATAAATTATTTTTTTACTGTTTTTTTTATATCATATTCTACAACAGCTGATGAAATTAACACTGTAAAAGTGTGAATTTTCTGTTTTATTTTCTGATAGTTCATGGTTAAAAATACAATCTGCACAGGACCTTCTACAGGTTTGCATGGGCGGGAGTTTCAGATTTCCATGGTGACATCACCATGTGGTAAATTGGTTAATAGACCAATAACAAAGAGTGTTCCAAACCTCTCTGCCAATAACAGCTAGTTTTGAGTTTTCCCCTCCCCACTCAGACCACTCCCAGACAGTCCTTGCAAAATTATTTATTGAGGAAAAAAATGTGTTGCTGAAAAGCTACATATGCCCATTTTTATGGAAATCTGTTAGTAAGGTACTTAATTTATATAAAAACGGCTGCATTGGGCCTTTAAATATATGAAATGGTTGAACCTGTCACATTCTCTTAACTTTGGGGGACTTTCAAGTAGCCTCTTCATGAGCAATCCTTCTTGAAAAATGAAGACTGCTCCTCCGCTGTGCCGTGCAGCTACGCAGAAGTGAAATATTTTCATGTTCTGTTTTGTCTGGCCCGGTCTGCTTACTTTTGGGTTGCACTCGGTTAAGGGAGAAATGGGCTGGGCAGCTTTTCAAAGCGTGAGATTACCATGCGGCTCCACATTGTACATAGCCCCGCCAGACTCCAGTGGAAGCGGAGGGATAGAGCCTGATGGAGATGCTGCTGCCTGAACCCCAGAGGGATCTGGAAGACCATCCAACACGGTTCTCTCTCAGACAAACAAAAGTCTAACTAATCTTTATTAGTAGAGCTGGCAACGCCAAGGTCGTGTATTGAATACCCACAGGGATCACACACTGTAGGCCTACACATTCTAAAAATGAATGCACTCACTGTACTGTAAGTCATTTGTATAAAAGTGAATGCTAAGTGGCATTTGTTATTATATTAAAGGCCTATTAATACTACAAGCTATTTTCTGTTGCGGATAGTCTTGAATCTAGCAGAAAAAACAACAGAGTGCTATTCTGCTCTGCAATTCAATCATCACATGTCGTTAGACTACCTTCTTTGCGTCAGGAATAGACTGAATAAATCCTTGGGATGTTTGCTCATAATCTCTATTAGATTACAGTCCATTAAGAGGACAGAGAGGTGTTTGTAGCATCTGCATCACATGCTTGAAACTGTCTGGATGCCATTAAGACAAACAAATAAACAAACAAACAACTGAAATATTCTAAGGTGCAAAACATGTATAACATATTTTCAACATTAGTGTCATGGTTACAGCATGATGTCATGTAATAAGGAATGGCAATAACAGCTTCATGATTAAACATGCTTGGTCCATTTGCCATGTATTAAATAGGCCAGGTTTTCAGCTCTCTGTGTCACTGTTTAAGGAACGTTTTAAAATGAGCTACACTCACTCTTAAATGCACATCAATTCTTGAGTATGTATTGTGAGTGGCTTTGCATGGAAAATATCCTGGATTAAATATCCTAGTGGTAATGTATGGTAAGATTTTCACAGCTTCTACTAGCTACCCAGAGAAAATTAAAATCTGGGCTTGCCTTGGTGGGAGGTTGGGAGGTTGTTGGCGTGACAACCTGAAAGAGCACTTTATGCAGCATGCTAGCAGGCCACGTGTAAGGCGTTGCCAGAACAAACAAAATTAATTTATATTAAGAAACCCTTTTGTTAGCATTTTCGGTAAGGGTAGTGGGTGGGGGGGCTGGGGTGTCCTGGAAATCAAACTCCATTAAACATTTAGCGGGTGGATTTACAACCTAGTCTATCTTCTGTGACAAGGTAGGTAGAAGAGAAAAAAAAGAGATGATCCTGAAAAACTAATTGAGCAAAAGATATAGAGAGCGATCCATAAAAGATATGACTGCCTATAGCCCAGGAGTGAGTTATTATAATATTTTTCCATGTAGGAAAAAACAAGCAGAATGAAAAGGAAGAAAAGCCAAGCATATGCGTTGGTCGCTTACACTATATCATCAATCATAGTTGCATTATTCATCATATTTATTAGGGTCGTCTACAGCAATTCATTGCTATAGATGAATGGAACTTCTCCTCACAGTGCTTCCCTGGTGCTATACTACTGTACATATTAATATCACGGCCAGTGAAAAATCATAGAAATGAGCGGTGAACACCGGATGACCTGAGAATAAGCTTAGAAAATAAAAAGATTTCAAGAACATAAAGCCATTTTCCCAGAAAGAGCAACTGTACAGTAATAGAAATCTAGTGACACAAAGATCTTTTGAGGTTTTTAAAAAGCAGTCATTGAAACTCCCTATAACATTTCATCTTTCCTCCATCCTGTCCACCCCGATTCCAGTATCTGGCTACAGTAGGGCGTACTGGACTCTGATCCTGACATCAAAAGGACCAATTAAAGCCATCGGTACTGTAGGAAGGTCCACTATTGGTTCTCCTCCAGAGACCTTGCACAGCATTTCCCATTCCCATCTAAACAGCAGCATTCCCCCATGGTACATTGCATGACTGCACCCACTCCCCCACCTAACCTCTGCTGCCTCAGACCATGCCAAGGAGCCCATGCCATTCTACAAAGTGGAGCCCAGTCTTAAGTGTGAGCAGACCAGAGTAGAGTAGTGCAGGCACGCTGGGCCTATTAAACGTATGAATCAGGGGTCCTAGACTAAAACGTAACCCCTGGTTTCCCCAGGAGGTCCACCAGACTCGGCGAAGAGAGCTGTCTGTCTCTTATATAACCAGCCGGCAAAGCCTCACAGTCAAATACGAAAGATCCAGCTGGTGGGGCTGAGCCAAGAGGTATAAAACACTCCAAACCTGTTTCTCTTTCGGGCCGACCCTGCGTGCCTACTCCTATGCAATAACAGTGTTCTCATGACTCTGCAACACGGGCCCCAACACACTGACAGTCCTGTCATTGTTCCCAGGTGGGCAGAGTCACTGTCAGCAATGCCAGTTATTTATAAAGAACAGAATACAAAGGTGCTGTTCTCCAATCTGTCACTACTAATCATCTAAAGGCGCCTTCAAAACATATGTATGTATGCTTGGGTGAGTTTCCAAGTGGAGTAGGGGAGGTAGGTATACTGGATGGATTATATATACGGTGTGATGCTGGTATTCTGGCACAGATCTGCCTGATGAACAACGGGAGTAAAGATGATTGTGTACATTTTCCAAAGGAAGAAGTTATGAGGTGCCATGTACAACATACAGTCAATCCAAGACTGTCATCAAGAATTTGGAAGAACATTTTGAACCACTGCAACTTGTTGGCCTGCCTGCAGCAGAGGCTCGGCTGTGGTAGTGTAGTGTATACTCACGCTTGGTGCACCGCTGCGATCCAGTGGCCTTACTCCATCCGTGACAGCACTGCCCTCCACAGACATTCACCCTGCAACAACACCCAGAGACAGAGATAGAGAGCATTGTCACACACACACAAGACAAACTCATTTTGCCTAAAACTCACTTGCTGGTGGGCCTAGTGATCCACCTGTGTCGCCCAGCCTGAGATTAACCAATAAAACTGGGCCAGATCTGGTTTTAGGGGTTTCCTTTTATGGGAGGTGAAGCTGGGCGCCCTTAGCCTGGTGCTGAGACTGTGGGAATGTCCCCACTAATCATACATCTGAGAGTGCTGCGACTTGGGGCCATGCTCCTGAATACAACAGGATCTGGGCCATTTCGCTTCCTTTGAGCACACTATATTCTTTCAGAACATTACTTGAAATGAGCTGTTTTTCTTTCTGTCTCTACTGAGTGGATGTTAATACATATCTTTATTTCGTATCAACTTGAAAGTTGTAAAAAAAAAAGTTCAGAAGTGATACATTGAACGTGAAATTAATTAGGTGAAATGTCTCAAACAAGTAGTCTACAGTATTGTACGTGTTGATTTGTCAGAAATATCAAAAAGCTACATGAAACAAATGCACTATATCATTTAAGTTGGTCTTGCAGAATATTTATTTAATCATGTATATTTAACAACCATGTTTATGTTAATTATTACAGTGAATAAGTTGGCCAGTCTAATAGCGAGTTCCTTTACCAGGCATGGGCGGTGTGTTCAATAGGGCGATATGGGCGACGCACTGCCAAACGGGAAAAGGAAGGGATTTTTTTTCTAATCAATTATATCATGGCAACAGTAGTTCAGTGTTCACGTCTGATCTGCCAGCCACTAAATGTCCAATCAGGCTAAAGTCGTGCTTCAAATGTCCCCGCCCGTTTTGGGGCGATTTCAGTCAGGTTGAAAATCGCCCAGAAGTCTCTCATAGCCTCTAATGTAAATTTTTTTTTTTTCAAATTTCTGAGCTTTCAATACATTCTCTATGGGTGTCTGAGGGCTTGCACTTACGCGCTTTCGTCATACGTAACGTAACGTAACCATGAACGGCAGACAGCAACGCTTGGACAGCGACTGGTGTAACCGACATGCACCATCTTTCAGAAAAGATTAAGAAAAATGAGCTGTCAAAGACCCACATTGATAGCTGTTTGAGGTTGTCTGCTTTGGTGAGAGTGAATATTGCCACTCAACTGGATGAGGGATACAGGCTAGCTGTCCGCCGCCACAACGATGAGGTTAGCAACAGCAGAGTCGTGAACACTGTCTACGAGAATCGAGACGACCTCATAGAATGTTTTGAAGCCATCCGGACGGGTTCATTGGGTTCATTTGACCAGCCCACCGTACCAGAAGCTACAGAATAAGGACATCGATGCTGTCTTTATCAAACGTGCCCTCGACAGCTTCGCAAGCAGTGTGCAGGCCATAAGGTAAGATAAAGATTAAACAATATCATTCGATCTTTCTCAAAGCAGAGCTTTATTTGAAAATGTATGCATGAAAGGAGACTGCATTTGTGTTTGAAATTACATTATTGTCATTATATATGGCCAGTGGTGTAATCTATCTTATTTTATATACTATGTGTACTGTACAGTGGTGCTCATAAGTGTATGAACACATTCTAAAGCTGACTAAAAAGAGGAATAAAAAAATAAAAAAATCATCTTTTGGAAATTGATCTTAATGACTTAATTAAAAAAGTTGGAAAATCCAACCTTTAAGGACACCAATTTTCTTTTCTTTTTTATTCCTCTTTTTAGTCAACTTTAGCATGGGATCATAAGCTTATGAGCACCACTGTATACTGTGCTGAACATCCAGGCTATGTGAGACACAAAGGCTAACTTAAACACTAAAGACTTTATGCATCCCTGCCCATTTTAAGTGGAACTGAAGTATTTGTACTATACATGGATACATTGCATATACCTGTGCATCACATAGACAACAATACTGTACAAAGCCAACAAACACATTGGTCTGTTTGCCTTCAGGGACTCCTCTCAACAGCAGCTGCAAGAAGCAACAGGAGCCAAAAGACCCAGAACAGCTTTGAGAGAAGAGGAGAAGCAGAGGCTGTCTGAAGAGGTCTGCAACACCATCCTGGATCACACCAAAGAAAGGTTATCTTTCTCTGGCCACCTTGTGAGTGCTACCTTACTGCAAGCAGACATGTTTGAAAGGTACTGCCATTCAAAAAAATAAAAAATCTGTTCATGTTCATTTTTACAAATCTATACAATTGGCCAGAATATGGTTGTTCATATTTACAAATCTATACAATTGGCCAGAATATGGTTGTTCATTTTTACAAAGCCATACATATTGTTTATGCAGTGTTGAGGAATGTGAAAGAACACCCTTGATTATTTTTACTGTGATAACTTATTTTGCTTTTGTAAGCCAACACTTTTGAGATCAGTCAATAAATGCTTCTGGTATTGACTTATATGCTGCCCCTGTCTTCATGTTGTTGCTGGACATATCTTTTTAAAAATGTGTGTAGGTCACCTAAATCATCAGAAAAATTGCCCCTCCTGAGAATTTTTTCAGGAGCCGCCACTGTTACCAGGTGCATGACTCCTGTACAGTTAGGTGACCCAACATAGGCAATACATTTTTATACCAGACCACCTTGCTATCCAAGAGGATAAGTAGCCTATAGACAGACAGATGCACTCTTCTGTAACAGGAAGTATTTTCAGACACCCACAGGTATACTTACCCTGACATTTTCATTTGGTGACTCTGGTGAACGTTGTGACTGGTCTGCGGAATGACTTGCTGGTGCAGCGCAAACTGTGTATCCTGGCGATGCGAGATCGGGTTCGCTTGGTTACCCATCCTACGGGTTCGGCCCTGGCCACCGTAACTGGCCGTGAGCTCCACATTGTAGGCATGGGGCTGTCCTGTGGCACTGGAGCGCGAAGAAATGGAACTCACATGTACCCTGTCTGTCCCGCTCGGACCTGGCTGCAATACGTAGTATCTCCTAAAGCCACTCTGATCCGTGGACACAAATGCCGGTGAAATGAATAAACCTATAGAAAATAAGAGGTCCCATCTGATCCAAGCCATATCCACTCAGTATCCGCGTAAAGACAGAATACTTTCTGAAAACTTTATAACAAATTCCTTGAAGGTCGGATGTTTCTTTGCGCGGTCCGTGTCTGGAAAATAAAAACTCCTCTGACTTTAACGCAAGTAAAACAGTTCTATTTTCCTGAACATATTCGTCTATGGTTCGCCTTCCAACCCGAATTTAAAAACAATAACTAAAAACGTAGGCTTCACTTTAAAAAGTTAAAAATAAAATTGTGAATAATAAATGTAAAAACGTGACTATGGGTCTAAAACAGAATAAAACACTGCTTTATCCCTGCGCAGGGTTGGGGGGGAGCTGTACAGCAGATGTTACGGCTGCTATGGCTATGTCTGTGCAATACTTTACCCTGCAAATGAGATTGAAAACTCTTTAAAAAGTTTCACTGTGTAAAGGAGTTAGTGTCAGAACTGAACAGCCAATCTCCAGCAGACATGACGTCAGGAGTGGGACGCTTATTGGAACACACTTGTGGGGCTGAACCCTAAAAAAAAAGTTTGGAGTGCGTAGGGTTCCTAGCATAGACTGTAAAGGTTCCTAGTCCCCAAATATCAAAAGGAAATCCATTCCTCAAGACGCATGCACTTTCTACCTGCTGTCGGCAAGAGCACGCGCTCACCAAAGTGACAGCAGGCATAAACCTTGTTGTACAGCAAGTTAATGAGTGATAAGAGTATAGCAACATGCTTATAAGAATGACCAGTTATAAAATTACACACCTAATAAGCTAAGTGTAATGTGTAAAACTAAATCATGTAACAGTTCTTAATTCATATGTATAAATAACATGGATATGTATGTAGGCTATATGCTGTCATAGTCCTTCATCTCATTGTTACTTCGGTCCCATAAACTCCTGCATAAATCATATAGGAACTACCATGCGTCATAAACTATAGGCAAGTATTTATAAAGCCATGTGTGCACCATTATTCATCCAACAACCCACATGAGTTACTTGCCAACAGTTGCACTGGGGCCATTTCTGGTGCGCTTCTAATTTCCCATGGTTATCCCTAGTTGCTGTCCTCCTACACTGCAGGGTTACCAGCAACCCCTGTGTAAATTGTTCAACATTGACTCATTATTTCATTGAAGACTGCAGGGGATATTCCAGTACTGGAGTAAGTTCATTGAAGACATGCACTATTGAGCGCACACAGTGGTTTTAAGGGCCTACACCCAGATGAACATGAGCCCCATTGAGTCATCGTGTGCGCTTTGGAAAACATACAAAGTACCATTAAGTCTTATGAAGTTGGTTCTCTTGAGTGAGGGATATCTAATTGTTGTCTTAAAACCTCTATGTCCCCCACTGAGGTTTGAAGTGGGTGGACACCACAGGAGGCTGCTGTGGGGAGGACGGCTCATAATACTGGCCGTAACGGAGCAAATGGAATGGCATCAAACATGGAAACCATGTGTTTGATGTATTTGATACCATTCAACTTATTCCGCTCCAGCCATTACCACAAGCCAGTCCTCCTCAATTAAAGGTGCTATCAACCTCCTGTGGTGGATACTGGTTACAGTGGTGTCATACATCGATGAAAAAAAGAAAGCCACAAGACTCTTCCCTCCAGAATGTGAGGGAGAGGAAAGGAGGGGGTTTGGGAAATGTTGCTCTGAATTTGACACACAAGAGGTGATGGTAACCAGAACCCAGTGCCTGTGCAGTAGCATCCTCGGAGAAGGGGACAGATCTGTGGAGAAAGACCAGGTGAGGCACATGTCATCACCAATGATGCAACTTGAAATACACTATATATACACAAAAGTATGTTGACACCCCTTCAAATTAGTGGATTCGGCTATTTCAGCCACACTCGTTGCTTACAGGTGTATAACATCGAGCAATCAGCCATGGAAACTCCACAGACAAACATTGGCAGTAGAATGGCCTCCCTGAAGAGCTCAGTGACTTTCAACGTGTCACCATCATAGGATGCCACCTTTCCAACAAGTCAGTTTGTCAAATTTCTGCTATGCTAGAGCTGCTCCGGTCAACTGTAAGTGCTGTTATTGTGAAGTGGAAACGTCTAGGAGCAACAACGGCTCAGCCGCGAAGTGATCGACCACACAAGCTCACAGAACGGGACCATAGAGTGCTGAAGCACATAACGCATAAAAATCGTCTGTCCTCAGTTGCAACACTCACTACTGAGTTCGAAACGTCAGCACAAGAATGGTTTGTCGGGAGCTTCATGAAAGGGGTTTCCATGGCCGAGCAGCCGCACACAAGCCTAAGATCACCATGCGCAATGCCAAGCGTTGGCTGGAGTGGTGTAAAGCTCGCCCGCCATTGGACTCTGGAGCAGTGGAAACTCGTTCTCTGGAGTGATGAATCACGCTTCACCATCTGGCAGTCCGACAGACTAATCTGGGTTTGGTGGATGCCTGGAAAACGCTACCTGCATACAATGACATTCTAGACGATTCTGTGCTTCCAACTTTGTGGCAACAGTTTGGAGAAGGCCCTTTCCTGTTTCAGCATGACAATGCCCCCGTGCACAAAGCGAGGTCCATACAGAAATGGTTTATTGAGATCGGTGAACACCTTTATGATGAATGGAACGCCGACTGCGAGCCAGGCCTAATCGCCCAACATCAGTGCCCGACCTCACTAATACTCTTGTGGCTGAATGGAAGCAAGTCCCCACAGCAATGTTCCAACATCTACTGGAAAGCCTTCGCAGAAGAGTGGAGGCTGTTATAGCAACAAGGGGGGGACCAACTCCATATTAATGCCCATGATTTTGGAATGAGATGTGTCGACAAGCAGGTGTCCACATACTTTTGGTCATGTAGTGTAGCTGGGCAGAAATGCAATCCTCCAGTCACTGATTCAATCTAGGTCAGTCGCATGTGCCATAACTGTACATCTGCCCAGGAAACACAGCCATCCAAGATGATCAGAGTCTGAAATGAAGTCTCAAGATGCTTCTGGAAAACATTTAAGTCATAGCAAGTCTGTGGGAAGGTATCAACATAGATATGCACAAGTTGTATGTAAAATGTGAATGTTTGAGTCATTCAGTCAGTGAGCTTTCAGGTCACGTTTCTATAGAGAATGTTACACTCCTGATAAATCTTATTTTGTAATAGAGTCCTTGCTCTAGGACATCCTGACCAAAAACTGCCCATCCTGATGATTGATTCCTAATTCATTCATACCACTTAATGTATATCATGAAACATGATGTCATTTTGGTGTTGCTCGTAGGCAATGACCTCGCCATTGTATTTCAGCTGCAGTTGGAACTTTATGAGGATGTTGTCAAGTTGTCACTGAGAAACACCAGGAATGTTGAGGAGAAGAAACAGGAGGCTGAACAAGCATCCTCTGTTTCCCTGCTTCAAAGGGAGGCCTCTCCAAACATATGACGTCATGGCAGCAAATCAGTGTAATGATGTTTGTCCGTGAATACCATTTGGAAGAGTTATATTACAATTAGCAGGCAGATATGACTATATTTTCCCTGTGTCTGCTGGATATATGATGTAATGGTGTATGATAGTAAATAATGACAACACTTGTAATGACCATTATTTCACATTGTATTAAATGACTGACATTTTGGGACAAAATCTGGTTATGATCGAGTGTTTTGGTATGCAAACAAATTGTGTAATCAAGACCTGTTGAATATATGGAATGTATACATACATTATACTTATGGGTGATGCACACTTCCTTCCCAATCCATAAATTGTCACCAGAAGGAAAAGATAATGTGCCATTTTTATTTATAACCTTTATTTTGACAGGGAGTCAATAACATCAAATCAAATTTAATGAAAGCGAACTGCAAGGCAGAGACACAGTCCATGACAAAGAGGCACAGGCAAAGAAAAACAACATTTCTAAGATAGCAATAAAACAACAAGTATGATAAAACAAAGGCAATGTCAAGGTCATTTTCCTTTGGGAGAGAAAACCCATGAGGAGAAGATGGTAGGATCTCTGTCTGTAGCCCCCGGGGCCCCCAGGCATGACGATAATGAGATAGCTGTACTGTGCAGGGGCTGCCTCCATGCTGTCTGTCCTGTGTGAGCGAGGCGAGGTGGGATGATACTTTCATGGCCCACTACTTCCCTGGTGATGAACGTCCACACTTTCCTGTCCTGCCTCACATTCTTACACTTCTCATCTGCAGAGCTCTCACTGCGCCTGGGTGAGTCCAGCTTTGAGGGGGGGGGGGGGGTATGACTAGTACATTCTAACAAGGCAAGCGTGGTTCTATGATCATAAGGCTTCATCTTTGTAAAATGTATGAATGTATACATTTCCTGATTTCTATAGATTCCACAGAGAAGGTGTCTTTTTGATGACCTGTGGGGTTGAGCTAGCATTCCTTAACCATGCTTTATACAACATAAACAGCACACGCCTCAAGGGGGGAATTATACCAAATTACACTTTGTACATACGAGTGTATCAAGTTTGAAGTCATTCCTTTGGCAGTCCTTTACAGTTACAGTCACATCTCTTCTTGCCTGTAAAACGGTGTAAAGTCCTCTTGGTAAGGATCAGGGTGAGGGGTGCAGGGTCACCTGACAGTGTCCCTTGTAGCCATGTCTGCTCTGGGACAAGTTTGCTGTAGGAGGTCCTTAGAGTCCTTAGAGGTGTGTCTATAGTGAGGCATTCATGCTGATTCGCTGCGCTGCTGGCCACTTTGGTCCTGCAGCTCCGTGATAAGCTGCTCTATCTCTTTGACTTCATCACTCAGGTCGCCATGGATCTCCCCAGAAGCAACATCTGTGTGCAGTTGCTGAGGAGAAACGGTGTAAAGAAATTAAATTACTACATTTGGTTAAACGTTATCGCAAAAAACAACGTGAGGTCGGTGAAGTAGCTCAGTAATGACTTGATGTGAGCAGTCCGATACATCTGTATGATGTGGTGGGGTGGTGGCATGAAGGCCAACTGTACTGTACCTTGGCTTTGGTGGCCAGGCTTCTCAGGCTGAGACGAGTGGAGGACAACATCTGCAATGCCTCCTGGGGGTTACTCTTCTTTTTACTACAGCTGAGGGTCACTGTGAACCCATAAATGTGAGAAAGAGAGACAGAAAATACCTATTAGCACGTAAATATGTGTGATTAAGAGACAGAGCACCTTAGGTATGTGTATTAAAATGAGTGATTGTTGGAAGGAGAGACAACCACCCATCACACATGGGGTACCATGGAAGGGTCAGGAGGAGAGAGATGAGGGGTTTCTGGGTCGGGGTCCAGGGGCCATGGCCCTACCTGCCCTGGTGAGACACTGTGGCACCATTGACCTATGCATGATTAACAGGTCTCATATAGACACAGGACTGTGGGTTATACTGCACGTGTGGAGAGGTGGAGGAGATGAGTCATTTCTCCTGGGACTGGTTAATGGGCGCTCCACCTCCCTCAGGGAGATTTCTCAGGCCTGCAGTCAGTGACACTTCAGTGGGCCTCATCTCGTTACGCCGAAGACACTTCACCGCTAAACCCCGCCGCGAGTGGCCTGGCAGCTCGCAAATTAATAATTAGACGAGACCTTTTTCCACAATGCCTGTTTAATCACTCCTGTGATCACTGTCCGAGATAACATAATCAAAATGTCCTCTGGAACGCTTCACAGTGAATCTGCATTCAGCAGGATGAAACACCATCCACACAAACACTATTCATGACTCCCAGAAAGTGATGACTAAAGCTCAGAAGAACCGGTGTTATTCTGTGCTGCTTTGAGAAACATACCTAAACAAAGCTCTGTTCCTGAGACAAGTGAGGATATTGATGGGCTATTTCCCCTGCGTCGCAGAGTCTTTTGTCTTGGTGTTTACCCGACACCTTTTATCTTTCTCTCGCACATGAGGAAGAGAAACTAAGCGCCGGTCTCTTCTCTATCTGCGCGACACCTTTTCCCTGTCTGGTCCCCTTCAGCCGCGACAGCGCCAAAGGTCAAAACGTCGTGATTTATGGATGAGGACCTCTTCTGCTCTAACCTCCTCCCTAGTCGTTCTCATCACACTACTTTTTTCTCATCCCTCTCTTCCGAGCTCTGTGGATGCAGTGTCCAGGCCCAGGCCCATCATAGAGGTTACAAAGTGGTGTAAGGTGTGTGTGTGTGTGCATGTGCGTGCGTGTGAGGGACAAGGTGTGTGACCTGAGTGACGATGAGCCCTAGCGACAACATCAACCCCAGAGATGTGTTGGGGAAGGCAGGGCTGCGTCCTTCCACATTGCTATTCCTACCGTGTTGCCCCGGCGCCCTGACTCCCTCTAATGTTTAATTCAACACAGTATCCAGCTGTAATGAAAACCCTGGGGATTCTCGAGATTAACACCTTTAATGGAGTTCTCTCCTATAGGACACTCTCCTTCCTTTGCCTGCTGTCTCCATCTCCACTCCATCCCCCTCGCCACTAACACGCAGAGCAATTGTTTGGATCAGGATTGCGTCTCGCGGAGGGCAGTGGGGTAAGCAGCTTGTTTACTCTTCTCATACCATCCATCATGTCTTCTCCCCGCGCGGCCTGACGCAAAGGCCTGTAGGAGACGTGACATTAAGCGTGATGGAGTGTTCCACGTGTCTCCGCCAACATGCGGCGGTCACGTGTGGCTCGTGTGTCGAAGAAGCTCGTGTGTGTGTGGGACAGGGCCTAAAATGAACACCCGCCAAATGCGGGTAGATTTTGGCATTGTTGGGTAAGAATGGCTAATTCACCAGACACGTTGCTGCATGGTAACACTCAGGGCTCTACAGTGTGAGCATTTCATAAAAATAGTAAAGTATGGCCACAGGTGCGAGTCGTGATTTATAGCAAAATAAATGCTGCAGTAGCTGTTTTCAAAGTATTTCTGCCATTTTGTTTCATATCTGGTAATGCGCAAAGCAATTGGAATCCTAATGTTATAGCTATCCCACCTCGCGCGGCAACACTGCCTGTCTAGGGGGCTGTGAGTGAAGTGCTGAAAGATTCGTTTTTAGAAGCAATGCACACAGGCATAAAAGTTGGTCTAATTCACTCGAAAGTCTACTAAAGTGAGATTTTGTCCTCGTGTTTCTTGGCTATTTACAATGTTTTGTTCACAAGCTACGTTGCTTTTCAATGTTAGAGTTTTCTTCCACTGCTAGCAAAAAGAGATATCACAGAGTTTGTCTTTGGAAACATTGTCGGCCTCTACTACTAGTGAGATTCTCACAGGCATGTGAAGATTGGCGTGGCCCTGCTACCAAGGTAACCTTAAAGGGGCAGTCTCTGAAGACTTTGTTTTTTTAAATAAATGTTTTAGTCATTTAGCAGACGCTCTTATCCAGAGCGACTTACAGTAGTGAGTGCATACACTTTCATACTCTTTTCATCCAATCCGCCGCGGGAACCGAACCCACAACCCTTGTGTTTTGCAAATGCCATGCTCAACCAACTGAGCTACACGGGTCACAGAATATCAAATTAAATCAAGCAATATACCACATTACTTCTTACTAGTATTACATGTATTGTTTTAGAAACATTACTAAGCATGCCCATCTGTTATTTTTGTGTGTTGTGTAATTATGGCGCAAATAATAATTTGCTGGTAAAGAATCTGAGTGTCTGGTAGATTTTTTTCATCTACCTGCCACAGTGGCTGGTATACAAAAAAGTTAGTTTTAGGCCCTGGTGTGGGATGAGGTGTGTGTGTGTAGGGGCAGGGAGTGCGACACTCACCGTTGGCCAGATCTATGGCTCTCCTTATCACCTCCTTGAAGGTCCCAGTGTCTTTCTCCCAGCCGCTGGCCTGCACCTCACAGCGATGGGCCTTGGACAGGAACTGCAAAGCCTGACACACACAAATAGACACGAGCACACACAAGAAAATCCATTAAAAACAATTATCCCCCAACACACAGAATGTTGTGGGCTACCATTTTAAATTAAATATTAACTTCCCATGAAGCCATAAACCCTTACCAAGCTGTTGGCCACACCATCAGGGTTATAATGAACACACTAGGTAAACACACTTAATGAATAGAAAATTAACAGAAATCATCGCTGTGGCGTGACTGGCCTATGGGAGGGGGGAAATTGCATTGGAAAGACAAATTACATACCAGGACTAAGGATCATAACTCAAAAGTCACGCTTAGGACATGATTAAGGAACAGTTTTATCAACGGCCCACTGCGTATGACATTAATACACAGAGCCATCTGTCACCGTGTGGCCACGTGCAATTTACTCACCATTAGTTACCATCGCCTACCAGTTATCAATGAGCCTATAAATAGCTTATTAACAGGCTCCAAGGCCATTACAATAATTACTTTTTCACCTCCCCTTCCGAGCACATACAGTATATTTAATGTGTGGTGTTTGCACAGTGAAATGTCACGGGGACGTTAGAGGAATGTTAGGGGGACTTACTTTCTCGTTGTCCTCAGGCCTGGTGCTGTGGCCGTCTCCATAGAGCAGGGCATAGTGACGCCAGATCTCAGCATCAGTGCTGTGACGGGACGTGACGCGCCCCATGAGCTCCTGGACCTTGGCCCGCAGAGACGAGGCCTGGTCGCCATGGTTATCTGTCATGTCCTCCACCACCGCTCGCACCAGGATCTCTAGAATCTGGAACACAGAGAACAGGGAAGAGTGAGAATGTGAACGCAGCGCTCCTCTGGTTTGAAGTGGGAGGGAGGAGTCGGAAAGAGTAGTGACTGCTTGTCTAAAGCGGGTGGGTGGTTTGGTGTGTGAACCTGACCACACTGGCTTGAATTACATATGTCCTCTCTCAACATAGACCAGTTGGGTTGCCTCAATATCGCGTAGCTGTGTCATCCTCCGTTTCTAGTTTGGTGACTGCCCCCTGCTCAAATGCAATATGCTTGGCATTGAGAGTGGAATATAGAATGGAATAAAACTGCCAAGAATTCATGGGACTTGTTTTCTATTGTAACAAAAAATGGAAATGTATGCACAGTCACGCTCATCATGCAGTACAATTAGAAGCCTTTGAATAAATAGCCTAGAGGGCAGAGCAATGCTGGATTTCAAAACATGACCTCACCCTCTTTGTTTACATTAATTAAATACTTTCCCATATGAATAATAAAACGGTATCATCAGCACATTGAAAACAAATAATTAAGTTAGAACGCAATACACAACACTCACACACACGGGCATGTCATAGTCCTAGCTATATATACACAGACATGTTCCATAAGCAACAAGCAGGAGAGACAGTAGATTATGATATCAATGGGAAAAATCTCAAAAGGTCCGTCCATGTGCTCCACTAAAAGCCAGGAAGTGCAGCAGCGTTCCGGGCCTCATCCTGTCTGTCCAGGGGAATGTTATTTGTGAAGCCCTCATGCACCGCTCCGAATACCAACACTCCAGTCTGAGCAAGCTGAGTAAAGGCAGGGGAAAGGAGAGAGAGACCTCGAACGGATGAAAGGTGGGACCTAAGGGTTGGAGATGTCTCCCCTGGGTTTGTGTAGTCTGTGGGGAGTGTGTGTGTATCTCCCCATGGCAGTGTGTGTGTGGGAATGTGTGGTCTGGATTGGAGGGGTTTGTGTGTGGGTAGTCTGAGGGTGTAAACTGCAAGATGTGTGCATCTCCTCACGCGTCTGTGTGAGAGTGAGTGGGTCTCCCCATGCTAGTCTTTGAGTTTGTGTGTATGTCTACCATGCGCGTACCAAGGTGAGTGTGGGGGGCCTGGTTTCCCAGAAGTCAGCTAGGCCAGCTCCCTTTGAAGTCATGGCACTAGCAGAAAGCCTGTTAGTGAACAGCTTGAAACCCAGGTGTTCGCTGAGCCAAGGTTTTTACTTTATCCCACTTTTGATTGTTCACAGTAAAAATGTAGCCAAAGGTGAATGAGACCTCTAGCCTACTGCACATATCCATACAACCACTCACAGGGAGGGATTTCACATTCACAGTGACTGAATCACCAGAGGAGCCAATGCATTTCTTGTAGTATGATTGTGTGTTTGAAAATCTGCATGTCTAAAGACGCTGTTTAAAGACCTCATTCCAAAGAGTCTTGACACAGAGTTACCAAATGACCCAGCTCTTAGTTAATGGGCTGCAAGTTCAGCTGCAGGCAGGCTGGCACACTGCCTCTAGCTCGACTAGATTATTGATTTGTCTCCAGTTGACTGTGGCGTGCCCCGCCGGTGGAGGAGGAAGAGAATCTGTGAGGAAGCAGATCTGAAAGCTTTAAGTGGTTTGAACTTCAACAGGCATGAGGGAGAGGAAAGGCCCCCTTCACAATAAATCTGGTCCAAACCAGACAATCAAACACCTTATATCCAGGCTACACAGACAACTGTTCTGTATCTATATCTGGGTCTAAACCTTCCAGCTGGCTTTTCCACTGAATACTGGCATTCCCTAGCCTCCCAGCAGCCATGCAATGTTCTTGAATGAGACTACAAAAGGCCATTAAAAGTGCAATGCAGTACTAAACAATCCAGTAAAGTTAATTCATTTTAAGAAAAAAAAATGTTATCAGTGTCTCTGTGTAAGAGAAGATCATAAATGAGACCTGTTGAAACAAGAGCACTTCTGTAAGGGCTGTTCCAGAATGTGTGCGTGTGGTCTACTGTAGGACAGTTGGTAAGGCGAGGATGAATCCTCACATCTGGCTGTCGTCTCAGCCTTTAAAACATCAGCCGTCTCTCTAGGGAATCCGGGAGCGTCTCTCCCTTCTCCCTCTTTCACTACATCACTCTTTCTACCGCACCCTTTTTTACAGTCCCCCAAGTGCAGTTCCACAGGAGTCCTTCTCACCACTCACATGTAACAAATGACTTGTCTTCAGATGCTCTTTAGCGAGCTCCTAGTTTTCACACTGTAAGTGTACCACTCCTCCATCTCTGTTTAAAATGTAAACGTTCTCAGTTGCTGGAACAAATGTAATTCTGCATACCATACCGGTGCTGCAAGTATCTCGCTACACACACACACACACCCCTCTCCTGACCTTCAGATAAGGTGCCGGTGTATGTGTGTGTGGTCCAGAGAGAGATCCTGTGTCTCCATACCGGATAAAACATTTAATAATAATATCAGTGTGTATTTGAGATGGGGGTTGCGTGGGTAACAGCAGAGGCCCTCTGCCTACTGGCTCTGAGAAGGGGTTGGTCTGACCGATCAGGTAGCTGTTATACTGGTACAGTAGCTGGTAGAAGTCTGTGTGTTGGAGGGAAATCAGGGGAGGGGAGGTGCTGGGTAAATGGGTGTTAATGTTGATTGATAGCTCTCTTCTGCCACTGGGGCACCTCAGCATCTGAAGGTAATTTCAGCCTGGAAGGTCTCAGACAGGATTCATCTGATATGACTGTCGATGATGATGAAAATGTGTAACAAATTAAATCACTACATGGAACTTTTTGATTCAAGTTAAAGGGGAAATTTAATGGATCACTCTCCCAGATTCCTGCTGTATGCGCTTATAGTGTGAAATTAAGAGGAAAAGTAATATCCTCCCACGGAGAGAGAGCAAGATGGAAAACAGTAAAGGTTTGATGTATCCACAGTAACGAGAGCACAGTAAAGTGAGATTTGATCCATTTTGAATGAGACCTTCTTTATTTTTAACAGGGGAAAGAAAAAACCTATTTTATTTTCTGTCTCAAAGGAATGTGTGTGTGTTCAACTTAACCCATAATTCATCACTAGGACCCATTGGATACAGAGAATATAGAGGGCATGTGACAGAGGTCCTCATAAGTCACTCAGGCCACTCTAGTTGCTTCCCCTCTACATTCCATAGAAGAGGAATGCATCATGGCCCATAAGGAGTACAGTTGTAAAGTACTCTCTCCCCCTCAGCCATGCAGTACTGTATAAACAAAAAACAGTCTCAGGAAGCAAACAAGACAGAAGAAAATAAACACAAAATATAAGGTCAGAACGAGTGAAGGAGGGGAACGGAAGGTGGTCCTCTGTAGCTCAGCTGGTAGAGCACGGCGCTTGTAACGCCAAGGTAGTGGGTTCGATCCCCGGGACCACCCATACACAAAAATGTATGCACGCATGACTGTAAGTCGCTTTGGATAAAAGCGTCTGCTAAATGGCATATTATTATTATTATTATAAGATATGTTGGTGACAAAACAAGCACTTCCAGGAAAATATTTGATGAAGTAGGTTAAGAAGGTATGACGTTAAATGTCGCCTCGTCACACAATTCAAAATACAATTAAAAGACGTGAGTCAGGCATGCCAAATATAGCCTACTCTCTTCAAATACGAGCACTTTTAAATGAAACAGTACTACGTCAAGGATACGTTTGGTGGAGGAGGGAGGAGGGGCAGGTAGAAGAAACGGATGGGGACTTCACAATGTCGCAACCAAAATAGTGCCACCAAACTACGCACATTGTGTGAGTGGGGAGAGGCTAGTGTATCAGACGACCACATAAAGCACTCATAAACCGGATGGGAACATCTTTTAATTTGATGCTCAAAGGCCAAATAAGATGGGGCCTAAGGAACTTACCAATCCTTCTTACACAACACAGAGTAAAGTGCAGAAGGAGAAAAAGAGAGAAGGAAGACTGTTGGAAAACAGAGTTAAAGAATGTGAATCCACATCCCAATTACTGGGACATATCTTTTACAGCAGCGGGTGGCTGGTTGCGACCTTTTCAACTTGTGTGCTTTTACATCTCCAATCCTAATTGATGAGGCGCTAGCATCTTGCCAAGCAAAAATGAATCCATTGAGCGAGAGAAGAGCAAAAGAGAGAGGGAGGGCAGGGAGGAAAGGAAAATAACACATTTTGAGCAAACCCCCACTGACTTTGCCAAGCTAATTAGAAAAGGCAATGAAACAGATCCAAACAGGGCTGTGCATGTTAAGTGGCGCTACACTGGTGGCGCGGGACGAGGCGAGGGCTGGGGATTATGACTGTACCCCCAGGAGCACCCAGCCCCAACCTCCAGAGATCTAAAGTTCTGTTTGTAATTTAGAGCATTCACATCCGTGCTGAAACATCTTCTTTAAAGTTAATTGCTCTGAAGACAGAACGTATGTATTCCGAGGCAGAGGACTTATATTGCCGTTCTGCTCAGTAGCGATGTTTGGACTCGTTTATTCAAAGTCGACAGTTAATTTTCTATTTAGTAAGCGTTGGTGGGTTTCCAATTAGCAAGCGATGATTCACAGATTTTTCACGTAGATCTTTTCAAATGAAACCAAATGAAAGTGTTTGATAAGCCTAGCAGGCAGGGTATAACTATTGGCGTGGATCCCATTGCAATATCGACACATGACATTCCATTAGATATCGTGAACGCCTCAGCAAAATGATAGACTGGTGGTCAAGTGGTGTGTAGTCAAGGAGGTCCAGAAGGTTCAGGTCTCAGAGTGATCCTTTAAGCGAGCTCTCTGACCCAAGTGGTTTCAGTATTAAAGAGGTGGTAGCAGGTGGCGGTGGCAGAGGGCTCTTCTCAAACAGACTGCAACCTCTTGCATATTTCTTCATTCCCAAGGGTTCACCCTCTGGAAGGCCCTTGGTTCTGTGATGGGGGGGGGGGCTCAAACATATGGAGCCTGAATCCCAAATGACGCGGCTAAGAAAGCCCACCCCGGCTCCTCCCGCTCCTTAAGGGAGACGCGGCTGCTGTTAACGACTGGTTGTTAGCGGGGCAGCGCTGTGGAACGAGGAGATGAGAGGCGTATGGTGCCATTAAAGGCACGCTCCTGGTGGCATATGGGGCCTGGCGTGTTCAAATCCCAGGTTGCTTTACACGTACTGCTCCTAGATGTGAACAAGCTATGACATGGGACTTATCTGCGACAGGAACCAGTGTGGGTGGAAAGTTAGCTGGGTTACTGTAGCACAGCACATTTCCATTTTAGAAATAATCCTGTAAACAAGGGAATATATAGTTCTGTTCTAAACCAAGTAGGATGAAGTTGCCCCTTGACACTAACCTAAGGTCAGTTTCCCCTAAATGGCTATGGTTGTGATTTCAGGATATGGTAAACTGATCCTAGATCTGCGCCTGTGGGCACTATCATTACCTGCACATCCTTGAATTTGTCTCTCAGGTCCATAAGGCGGTGGTAGGCCTTGATGGCCTCTGCGAACTCTCCCACGTCGGTGCAGACAGCAATGAAGTTCTCCCAGATCTGCCAGTGTTCGTAGTTACACTTCAGAGCCTCCTGTAGGGTGCGGAAAGCCTTCGTCCTGACAAACAGTGGGACAGACAGGCGCTGGAATTAGTGGTGCCATGGAAAGTATTTTTACATGGCTGGTGCTCACAATCTTTTCAGGGGCAGCTTACAAAGTCTTATGGGATGAATACTAAGTTGAGATGCGCACAGACTTCGGAGTAAGTCATGCACTACCGTCAATGTGCAAATTTGAGTTACTTAAGTTAGGAGTCGGTCCTACCTGTAATTTCTATAGTTCAGTAATGAGTCACTATTTCAGGTGAGGTGCCTGCATCTCTGTAACCTCAGCAGCTGTCCAGAAGTGGAGCATAGCCAAGCCTGACTGACATGGCTGCCTGCCCCCTGTGTCTGACACCTCAGTGAGACGCAGGCTACATAAGTTAGCAGTTCACCGTGACAACCGCCCTGATACTCTCTCTCTGATCCACCTGCACTCACACACACCACAGGCTCCAGGCTCTTTAACAGAGCCACTTCAGCTGATTTAGCAGCGGCGCTAAACAGGTAGAAGTCTCCCCGCTTTTTAATTTCAGGCCTGAAAGCACAGGGCTGATTTGATCAGGGGCTGAGGGGGAAAGTTTCCCCAGAAAGAAACCGTGGAGCTTCCTGGTTCCCAGACAGAGTTCTGCCAGTAAGATATTGTGGTTTTTAGGGGAAATAAGAGAACCTGCCCATCTTGCAGTGGTGGGAATGTACTAATTGACTTAAGCCTAACAAATCTGGCTGATGCCCGCATCAGGGTCAGCAGGGCTGTATCTAGGTCCTGTGGTAAAATCAGGAGGGTGCTGAGATGTTATCTTTCCCATCACGACTGCCCAGTGAGATTTTGATGTAATTGAAAAGCCTCGAGGTCAGTTACGAGACTAAACCAATGACTAGAGGAGTTGGAGTGGGGTGAAAAAAGCATTGTAACATCAATCTGTTTCATTGGCGTGTAAATCAGTGCTACTCTTTGATACCTCTCTCCAGCCAAAAATCAATACTGTCAGGCTGAATGGATGGCTCCTGGCTGGCAGTGTTAGTCCCTCTCTCTGTGAGAGTGACAGGTCCTGCATCATTAGGGGTAGTGGCTGGAGAACCTCAGGGATATCAGGGCTGAGAGAGAACATTAAAGTCTGATTCCTCTGTCTTTGTTGTGGCCCTATGTGTCAGCCGGCACAAGGGTGGTGGGTGGATGGAAGGGCGGGTGAGTGAGTGACCAATACATGGGTCTGAGATACATGGGTCTGAGATACATGGGTCTGAGATACATGTGTCTGAGATACATGGGTCTGAGATACATGGGTCTGAGATACATGGGTCTTCTCAAGGCTCAGCTGAGCCACCAAAACCAGTTGGCTCAATAATAGAATTCCTCACCCTAAAGCTAATCTCAGTCCAGTCAATTGTGTGTGAGCTGGGGAGAGGAGGCTCTCGATAAAGACTGAGGGACCTTCAAACATTGAGCCTGTCAATTGGAATACGTATGACTGAATTGTACATCTTCCAGAGTCCTAACTCTGTTCAATCATTGACAGGTTAATGGTCCAGGTGGAGCGACTATACAGTACTCACTTCTGTCTCAGGCGGATGTAGGCTGTGGAGAGGTTGTTCCACGCTTCCGCGTTCTGAAGAAGGAAAAATAAAGATTTACAGTTTACACACAAGTAAGCACAGGGTTGTTTAGAAGCTGTGGCACAAGACTGACTCCCCCCGAGCCTAAATCTGTTTTGCTGAGTGTTACATGAGCACATTCCCTCTCAATGCAGTGGGCACACGGGTGCCGTATGGGTCATTAAGTTGAATTGGAAAGACTGCTGGAGGACAAGCGTGTTATAGCTCGGGTTATGGGCAGGGAGTGTTTTCCGTTTGTCTAAGTGTGTGTGTGTGTGTGTGTGTGTGTGTGTGGGGGGGGGGGGGGGGGGGGGGGGTTGTTATGGAATGTTTGTGTATTTGTGAGAGTAATGGAAAAAGAGAAGGGGGAGTGACAAAATGAGAGATGAATGGTATTGTGATGGTCCCACTGTGCATTCATGTGATTGACTCTGCCCTCCTATATGCGATGACGCCTGACATTGGGAGGAAGGTAGAGTAGTAATGCACTTACATCTGGCTCCAGTCCCACACACCTCTGGAAGGCCTTGGCAGCTCCCTCATAGCCCTCCAGGGCAAAGTAGGCACAGCCTAGGGAGAACCACACCCCAAGCTGCAGAAACAAGACAAACCGAGTCAAACATGAGCAGTGAGTTCAGGAATCCTAAACTGTGAAATGTTGAGTGGAATATCATTTTATAGTCTTATCTATTCAAGGTGAGAATCCGATATTATCTTAGTGCAAACGCTAACTCACCCCATTGATCCACGGCATAAACAAACAATGTGCTGAGCCTGCCCCACTTTCTCAGCCCTGCTTTCAAACCATCCCGCCACGCTCACTGGCAGGTGCCACACAGGAGACGTGTGCAAAAAAAGGAAGCGGAAAAAAAGAAATGCAAACGCCATGTTGGCTCATGTTGCAGCCCTCCTGTGCCTGTGTTTGTTTTGGAGGAAAGCCCACCTGTCAGGCAGGCTGCGGGAGGCCCCACTCTGTGACTGACAGGCAGGCCCCGTCTACGCAAATCAGCTGTGGCGTCAGTCCCCCGGACTCTCTCCCTCTTCCCCCTCCATTTCCCTTTCTCTCTCCACTTTATTTTTCTCTCCCTCCCTCTCACTCTCTCTTTCCTCCCAGATCTGAGATCTGAGCCACAATCGAGTGTCTTTCCCCACTCACCACAGCACACTACAACATCTCATTGGGAGGTGGGAAACAGAGGTATATTCCCCTCTATTCTGTTTATCTTCATTCTCCAAAGATGTAGGGGCCAGAGCGATCGTTTACAAGAGCCCTCATATCTCCTTGGCAATACTTCAACAACCCCTTGAAAAATGGAGGGTGAAGGTCATTATGGCAAAACAAGCTAAATTAAAATATCCTATTGGTTGCTGACCTGCTGAATTAAATAAGGACAAAGGGCAGAAGAGTGAAGGAAAACAGGAAATAATTTCCCTTTCCTCTGTTCCCATGGGGCCTGGGTGAAACAGACTCCTTATTTCTCCTCTTTACCCTCACATCTCCTCCACTCTTCCTCTCCTCTATCTAGAGGTGTGGTTATAGGGTGAGCTGGCTGCCCTCTGTGTGCTGGGAGCCAACAGGACAGGTCCCAGACACCACTGTCCCGACACTACTTCCTCAGGGAAATGGGAAAGTGTGGGTAGGTGGGGGAAAAGGCGCAGATTCATTCCAGCTCTATTGTGCACGATGCCAACCTACTCTTTAAAGTTGTTGAATTATTTAATTAATCTATTCATAAAAATAAATACAAAAGCTGTCATATCACTTGTAGGGAGGTTACCTACAGGTCAGGTAGTTAAGTTTCACCCTGTGAGTTCTACCCTCTAGCCCTGAGATGACAAGAATACTTTTTTCAATATCCTACCTATAGCTAGCCATTTCAGAGGTTAGTTTACCTGCATGGTGTTGATGCGGAGTGACTTCTCGAAGCACTCCACACACTGCTGGAAGTCCTTGGCCCGGAGGTGCAGCAGAGCCTTGGAGCGCATGGCGCGGGCGCTGCGATGGTTGGACAGCTCCCAGGCCTGGTCGTAGTATTGGTGGTCCCGCAGCACGTCCCCCAGCAGGCAGTACAGACTGGGGGTCTCCTTCTTCTCCAGCTCCCTACGCAGGATCTCCTCCGCCTGAGGGAGGGAGAGAAGGAAGCACAAGAATACAGGAAGAGAAAGTAAGAATTGGTAATGAGGGAAAGGGGAAGAAAGGTGAGATAAGAGGGGGACAGAGAAGGAGATGGTTAGTCAAAATGTCTTTCAACAGGCATTTGTTCTTGACGACCCTCAGAGCCAAGACATTTACAATTCCCTGCTAACAATAATCAGGCTTTGATTTGGTCTGGGATTGCAACAATCCACTCACTGGGGAAGGAAGCTCAATCAAGATGTTGAAACTGGGGGTCCTTCTACTGTAGCCTCAACTACATTATGTTCTCCAGCCTGGCCAGAATAAAAGCCAACAGACACTGAACCTCTCAAAAGAGCTGATTTGAGTACTGTATTCCCTCATTATTCTACACAGTTGTGGGTAGAATAATGATCGGGTTGTGAAGAGCCCGTTGTCTAGCGGTAACGCTCATGGCCAGTCACATACTGCTCCCCAATGGAGACCAGGGTTCAATCCCCGTGTCCACCCTTCCTACTGTTGCCCCACTTGCCTGTCTCCCCCTCAGCTGCCAACTGACTAAATACAATGTAAAAACTTTTTTATTTGAAGAATAATGATCGGCTTTCCCTTCACTTTAAGATGTTGCTTGGTTCATGTTGAAGGGTGCAAATCTACCCACAGCCTGAGTGTTTTTGGGCGCAAGAGTCTCTGGGTTTTCATTGTGTTCCTTTACTGGATCCCATTCTGAAGGCTGAACCTGGGCCAAGTTCCACTGGCACACACTCGGCCCCCATGGAGCACATTGTAACCGTAACCCTCTCTACCACACCACAAGACCCTGAACTCACCTCCAACACATGGAATTACAATGTAAAAACAATACGGCTGGCAAAGTGAATTATTTTTTGACCTAAACGTGTTTTTCGTATCAGCTTGAACAGTAGATGAGCATGGACCTCTGCAATATTGCAAATAACAGATTGGGTTGAGAATAGGGGAATAGTACCACAGAAAAGTGAGAGGAGTTCAGTAACTCTATCAATGACAGGAAATTACAGGAGACTGACATATATTATCAGTAAGTCGTCCATTTCTCTCAGCTTTTCTTTTCCAATCATTTAACCACAGAGTACAAATATCATAATGACTGTTTTCTGATTACGTTGGTGATCTCTTTCACTCATATTTCACATATTTGTATTTACCCTGACCACACATACTATAGTAGAGTTTAACGACAGACAAACTCATCTTAGAGGACATGTGCATCCACATTAGAATTAAACCCTTTTTCCTCTACTGACGGAGCTGGCCAACAATTTACAGCCCATTATAAAACAATTTCCATTGGATTTTCCTTCAAATATCAATATCGTCCTTCAGGGTTACAAATTGCCATCACATCAGCACACTAGTGCTGCTGATCAAAACAAAGAACTGGGCTTCCATGGCCTTTTCCAGACCACACACCAACCGCTGCTGCTGGATCCTGATCCCTTCCAAGTCCTGGCCTTCAACAAGTATTTTGTTTCAACAAGTCAGTTTTACAGTTATACGTATTGCATTTAATCCTGTAGTTGCCGCCATTCAGTTATTTGGAAGGGTGCTGCACACCCAGGAAAGACTGTTTCCCAGAAAGAATGGAAATATTTATTACCATAAAAAATGCATGTTAGGGAGTTTATATTCACAAGATCAATAGGACACCCCTACAGCCAACTGCTGGCAACTAATTAACTGATGAGAAATCTCTCTTATGATATTGCGCCTTGACATGCTCTCTCCAGGCAATAAGACAGACTGAGACTATGTGCTTCTCACTGGAGAATGACTTGAATCTAAAGTAGTACTTCAGTAGACCTTCTGGGGAAATGGAAAAGGGTGATTGTGAATAACCTCAGAGCATGGCCACCATTTCGAACCCCCAGTGTGCTCCTCCATAAAGAGAGAGAGTGAGAGCGGGAGGAGAGGTAGAGGGAGAGACCCTTATTGTGTTGGGAAAATCACATACAGAGTTCTCTGAACTCACTGACCCTTGCTTAAGGGTAGAGTGGAATCACCCTTTGGCTAGATCTGTTGCTTGTGTAAATAGGCACTGTCTTACTATGGGAGCCATGACCCATTTTTGTGAGGGGAGAGTCATTTACCACGGTGCAGTTGCACATCGAAAGGAATCCAATCAGGCTTGGAATATTTTTAAAAACTGAACAACATTCATGTGTTGTGAATGCGAGAATATATACTCTCTGAATTGGTTCTCTGGCTGAATTACATGTACCGGGATATTCATATGCGATTTACTGCCCCATTTGTGCAACAGAGGTACTTTAAACATTTGCCAATAACATACATTTATTTCAAAAGCTGATATTTTGGACTGGGTTATACCATAACAGTTTTGTTCAATATTTCGTCTTGTTTATTTGCTGAAAGGTTTACACGGATGGCTCATCCATAAGGCTGGTGTAATACGACAATTACCTTCAAAACTCTAGTGGATAAACCTATATTATGTACTCAAGACTGGCAGAAGCTATCAAAGCTCCCATCCCCTCTCCGCTTTCCTCTGTTTCTCTATTTGAGCTTCTTTCTTTTTCTCAGGGTGCGGCCAGGTATGGCTCATTCACATTAAGCATGCATTCAGACACTGAGAGCAGGAACAGCACGTTTAGTACAAAGAGACTACCGGCAGAAATCCACCCAAGTCTTCTCCAGACAAATGGATTGCCTAGCATTTTTTATCATGTTACATGGCGCGCTGGCTTGGGCCAAAGCGCATGGTTTTAGAATGAAGGACGTATTTTATTGACCAGAATGCACCTCTGTAATCAGATTGGAAGACAAAACAAGCTGTAAGTCAATAACAGAGCACAAAGGCCCGCAGGCCTTGCATTCAGGGTTGGGACTGAATGCGGGTCAGCCCTGCCCACCTGGAGGGAGTATGGTGTGTGTGTGTGTGTGTGTGTGTGTGTGTGTGTGTGTGTGTGTGCATGCTTGTGGAATACTCATTTCTGCTCAATCTGTCCCAGCCAAGCTTTGTTGATCCAGAGAGATGGATGTGGTGATGCTACAGAGAATTTATGAGAACCCTGTGAATCATGCAGAGATGTCACTTAAAAAGGTTGATGACTGAAAGGACAAGGGGTGAGAAATGGACAGAAAAATCTGACCAAGAATGAACCAGATGTCCATTGCGTAACGGTTTGGGAGAACATCCTCAGAGCGGTTGTGACAAATCTGGCACCAGTTTCATCAATGACTTTCAGAACCACAGCAAGATGGCGGACGGTGTTACAGGGTTCTCTACTTGGCCTGGTGTGGCACTCCACAATTCTGTTAGGACTTGACAGAACATCGTCTGACAGGTGCAAGAGAGCGAGAGAGGAGGTTGCCTTACCACTGGCTCTTCCTTTTTTCGCTGCTTCATTACCTCAGTCAATTCTGACCGAGAGCACTTGTAGGTCGGGCGAGAAAAAAACACCTGTGTAAACATTTGAAACTTTTCCGCCCAAAAAAAGAGGAAAACGATCCGCTATCAAAAAGGAGGACCAACAAAAACAAACAGCTGCCATACGTCCAAATCTTTGATTCTTTATTCTCTGCCGCACTGTGGGAATCAGACTCTAAAACCAATGCCATTGGTTGCTGTTGGCTACCCCTGTGACCTGTACTTCCAACTCCTGTTGTTCCACCATTAAGAGACCAAAGTGAACATTCAATCAGCGCCACCAAGAGGACATTGACTGAGGGATGGGGGGATCTGTAAGAGCGTGATCCAACCCAAACATGCTATATTTCTGTCTATCTGGGAGTGTGTTTCCCAGGGGGGCCCTGGGGGCCAGACAGGTTAATAATAACGCCAGGGAAACAGTGCCAGATCTCCCTGGGAATGATGAGTCTGACAGCTGGAACGCCAGAGAACACAAACGAGTGCATAAACAGGTGCACACCACAGACAGACAGACAGACGGATAGACAGACGGATGGAGAGATGGAGGGAGTAGGGAGCACAGCGAGATAGCTAGGTAACAGGATGAATGGACAGAGTGCCGATATTCACTGTTCTTCCAGTGTGGTGCCCATGTTTAGTATGAAGAATAACCTTGTCTGTTGTGTAAAGCAATGGGTATTGAATTGTCCCTGAGAAGGGCAGTCAGTTTTTCTGGTGGTTGTAATGGCTGTGTTGTACCTTGCCATGCTGGCCCATCCTCTCCAGGCAGATGACAGCATCCTCCCACAGCTCCAGTTTCTCATAGATTAGCAGGGCTGAGCTCGTGCAGCCCAGGTCTGTCAGCAGGCTGGCCAGCTGCTTCTGTAAATGTGAGAGAGTTTCAGACATGGGATAGCACAACTCGTTTTTTATTTAAAAAATATATAATGTTGATGTACAGATGTATGCCCCAGGAAGACCCCATCCACAGCCCCCCGCAAGAAGACCCCCTCCTAGCTCTGCCACCGCTGCTGAAAAAAATCCTAGGGGAAACACTGCATATGCATACACTCCATGAACCATCACAGCTCAGTCTCTGGTGGTAATGACCCTTATCACATTCATAGCAATAAAAGTCATTTTTCTGTCACAGGATGCTTGGGAGAGTTTTGTCTTCCCTGGCTGCTGTATTCAGGTGGTTGGCATGTTCAAGAATGAAAATATGTACTGCCGTTTAGCAGTATTTAGGCTGCAGCCATCACCAGTTGTATTCATTCCAAGCTGTGGTGCCATATGCAGGCTAGTGTCTTCACCCAGGCTAGTGTCTTCACCCAGGCTAGTGTCTTCACCCAGGCTAGTGTCTTCACCCAGGCTAGTGTCTTCACCCAGGCTAGTGTCTTCACCCAGGCTAGTGTCTTCACCCAGGCTAGTGTCTTCACCCAGGCTAGTGTCTTCACCCAGGCTAGTGTCTTCACCCAGGCTAGTGTCTTCACCCAGGCTAGTGTCTTCACCCAGGCTAGTGTCTTCACCCAGGCTAGTGTCTTCACCCAGGCTAGTGTCTTCACCCAGGCTAGTGTCTTCACCCAGGGTAGTGTCTTCACCCAGGCTAGTGTCTTCACCCAGGCTAGTGTCTTCACCCAGGCTAGTGTCTTCACCCAGGCTAGTGTCTTCACCCAGGCTAGTGTCTTCACCCAGGCTAGTGTCTTCACCCAGGCTAGTGTCTTCACCCAGGCTAGTGTCTTCACCCAGGCTAGTGTCTTCACCCAGGCTAGTGTCTTCACCCAGGCTAGTGTCTTCACCCAGGCTAGTGTCTTCACCCAGGCTAGTGTCTTCACCCAGGCTAGTGTCTTCACCCAGGCTAGTGTCTTCACCCAGGGTAGTAATTTCACCCAGGGTAGTATCTTCATATTTTATCTTTCCATCTCCACCATTATGACCTCACATCTATTTTCATTATCTTGTCATCTTCACACAAGGCAACATAGGTCGTAACCTGTCTGTCGGTCCACTTAAAGAGTGGGAGCCGAACCTGGAGTCTAGGTTTCTGGTTTTTATCACCTCTTGTCCTCTCCTGTGATCGCCACCCATCCTGTCTCAGGGGCGACATATCACGTCCCACTGGGATGATGGACCCCATAAACCCCCCCCCCCCCCCCCCCCCCAGGGAGACATGGGGAGCCAGGACGTGACATCAATGGCAAAACGGCAGACATTTACACTAATAGGACATACGGCAGCGCACATGCCATTTGTGCCTCTTTCCCCATTTCCAGGAAAACTCCTGACATTGTGGTTTCAGAATCTCCCTGAAAACAGGAAGGGCTGAGACAGACAATACATTGTTTAATTATATGGGGATTTATTCATTCTGTAAGCACATCTTACAACATATGCTATTTCAACCCATCTTCCTGTCCCTCCTCTCCCCACACAGCTTCTCTGAGCGCAGGCACGGCCATCGTTACATGCCGGTCACACCTCTCACTGATGAGAAAATGCATCACCACAACCCACACAATTCTCTGCCTTGCTTGCACTTTCAATTCCCCAGGCAGCAATAGGGTGCCTTCAATTCCAGCTTTATTGCTGTTCGCCGTTATTACATGGAGCCCACTGATTTCTCTCTTTCCCTGTCTTTTACACCCCCTCCCTCTCAATCTCTCTACCTCTTCTTTGCCATATCTCCTCCTCCCTCCCTTTCTCCCTACTTCTACCTTGCTATCTCACCATCTCCGCTCTTCTCCCTCATCTGTTGACCAGGCCTGTGCCTGTCTGTGTGTGGGCCTCACACTCTACCTATGTGAACATCAATTGTATTGACTGATTTTATTGAGAAGCAGTGGTTTTGGACAACAGCAAAGAGTTAATTAAAAGCCAAGGAAACATTTCCCACCAGCTGAAAATGTGAGCAAATTAGACCGCTCAAACGCCTTAGCTGATACAAGGAAGGAGAAACTGACTGTGCCAAGACAGGTGCTACAACACCACAAATAAACACATCCATGGTCGACAAACCATATTTCTGCTTGCTACAAATACAGAATAACAAAAAGGCTAATCACTCACTCTTCATCTCCCAGGAATATATACACAGACAGAGAAAAAACAGACAAGTCTTACATGTAACACCATATAAAGACTACCAGGTTGATGCAGCTTCTAACCTGAGGGGCACTAACTGTCTGGTAGTTGATGGAGGACAAAGACGTACTGTTTTAGTGGCCATCCTGCAGTGGAAGAGGCCATTAGGTGGCCTTTGGCTTGAAAGCAGCTGGCGCTAACAGGGAGCTTCAGCCTGACAGATATATTGTCTGAATGCCAAGAGTCCAGATTAGATCAGGGCTCTGACGCACTAGATAATCACATATGACCAGACCTGTGGTGATAGATGAGACTCCTCTGGGGACAATGCGTTAGTGGACCTCGGGCAGGAGGTCTAGAGGACACAGTCACAACGCTGGAGCAAGGGCAGCATCCTTGTTCAATTCTAGGACTACCGTCAAAGGTATGGGAGTTCAAAGAGAGTCGGCCAAGTGGATGGGTCCCATCCTTTTCTCCTGAATTAGTGTTCGCTCATATAACCCTGATGTAAATAATTGTTTAATCATGACCATGACTTCCAATGGGTCAAGTCATAAGTCAAAGCTTTGATGGAAGACATTGCTCTGTGTGGTACTTCAGTTACAGTGAGTCGGCCCTTAAAATGAAGTTCACAATCACAATGGAGCGAAACCAATTCATTAATCAGAAACCCAATCAGCAGTGACGGGGTAATGAGAGGGTGTTACCTGGACGGCCCATCTGGGAGGAGCCTGGCAGCAGTAGAAGAGTTTCAGACGCTCCGTCACAGGACAGCTCTTCTCCTCAAAGTAATCCACTATAGTCTGGAAGAGAGGAGAGACATCCAGCATCAACTAGACAGTCATACCCAAAATTACAGATTTAAACTGCAAAGTTGGTAGAGCAAGTCAAGAGCAAATTGTAATGTACTGATTGAGATGTGAGTGCAGCAGGTCTAAAAGCCCATTGATTGACAGTGTCCAACCCCGATATCTGGTTTAGTTCTCTGTGTTTTGTCTCAATCGGCGTTGTACGGGTTGTTAGGTACTCAATGAACACTGGCTGAGGGCATCCAGGAAGACAAGGTATAAACAGTAAACAACTCTCACAGCCATGCCAAATGAGCCACTGCTGGATGCTATCCAATTGTTATTGTCTCATTCTCAGTCTCATTTTATCAGCGGGCCGTCATGCAGAGCAACAACTCACATTCTGCCTTCTATCTGAGAGGAGATATTTGTCTGTGCCTAAAATTGGGCTTGACTCACAGTTATGTCTTTAACAACGATGATCCAATACCATGGCTCATACACCTCAACCTAACAGCAAATCCCAGACTTGGACTCAGTCCTCTCGTTATGGCTGGGTTGGGTGGTGCTATCAGTGGGACCTGGACAGGGCCCAGTTTCCTGTAATGAGATTTGGATCCCGACAGCCCAGGATAAAGTTAATTATAAACAGTGGATGGAGTTGGGCAGCTTGGACGTGATTGGGTTCCTTGTATAGGAAATTAAGAGGAAAATGGGGAAAAGTGTAACAGGACATATTTTACAGCCTGGGATGGAGAAAATCCAGAGAGGTGAGTCACAGTGATTCAATTTTCTGGTGACGAGGCCAGACGAAAACACCGACACCTAGACACAGACACCTAGACACAGACACCTAGACACAGACACCTAGACACAGACACCTAGACACACATACTCAAACAAAATGCAGAATGACACAAGCAAAAACACTAACAAATAGACAGAAACAGACAGACACCAACACAATCAGGGAGGCGGGGGATAAAAAGCTTTCCTTACTTTTTTAACTCAAAGACAAATCCAATGCCCTGCCATAAAGTGTTGATGTCAAACAGACTGCTTCAGATGAATACTGATCTAGCTCCCTCAAAGACCATTACTACTCTGCCCACATGATTGTCATCAATGTTAATCTTTTGTCTCTGTCAGTTTAATGGGTGGTTGGCGAAGTTGTCTTTACCAATATCTAAATCCTGTCAACAAGCAACAGCAGATCCTCTCTGGCAACCGGTAACATCTAAACAAACCTCGTCTACAAATGAGAGTGCCCAGTAAAATATTAAGAATAAATCTTTCAATTTAAAACACAAGTCTGTGAGTGACGCTGTGTGTCAAAACAGGTAGCCTGCAGAGTGGGAGCGGGCACACAGCAAGTGCAAGACGAAAGCTGTAAGAATTCAACAGAATGAGGAATTTAATAGGGCTGTCTATTCATGCCAAAACAAACAGCCTTTGCACTTGTGTTTGAGTGCAAACTTTCGGTCTTCCAGGTCGATGTAAGTGTTCTCTTTGGTTAAAGCGAAACATTGCACAAAACCAACTAGACCTTGATAAAATTACATTTTTGCTTAATGGTTCTCTAATTTGATAATGCATGCAGTTGGGTTCTGTCCTTTATAAACCTGAAGTTAAATTCCTGAGGACTTTTGTACCCTCCCCACAAAGAGTTTCTAAGATGGAAAGGGTAGTACGTCAAAGTGACTTACATGGCTGTTGCAAAAAACGGCAAGGTTTCCATCCAATTGGCGACATACAAATATTCTAAAATCCGCATAAAAACAATATGCATATTTTCCCACCAGAGAAAAGGCTGTGCATGAGGAGGTAGTGAACGTAAAAATTACTTTTGCGGTTAAATTGTACAGAATAAAAAATAAAGGTGTGCGAACTACTGGTAACTAATCTCACAACACAACCAGCAATTGGAGGGCATTTCCAGTTGCAGTTTAAAAAGGAGGATGGAAGGAGAGTGATCGGGTCTTAGGGAATGACATTTCCAGTTGGCTTGGTGCAATCGGTTTCCCTTAATGGCAAGCAAGGTTTGTTCAAAAGCAGACTGCGGATGACTAATAAATGGTGTTTCTCCACGGCCAGTGTATATATTCAAAGCACAAACAGCAGTTGGCATGTGGTGAGCTCTGGTAGACCAGAGGCCCTGCAGAGAGCGAGCCACAGGATACTGGGGTGTAGTTCAGAGAAGATGAGAGGTGGGAGATTGGTGAGTAAAAACATCCCCATTCACTGAACTGAGTTACAAGTTGCTCTGTGAACACAATTATAGCAGATGGTGATAGTAATGTAAAGTATATTAAATGAGTAAACCAGAAAGTATTGATTTTATACAACTGCACAAGGAAGGAAAACACCCCATCTGACAGGTTGCAGAAATATGAAGTTTGCATTCAGAATAAGACCCGTACACATTTGATACCCATGTTTAAATTGAACAAAATGTACCATATCTGGAGAGCCTTGAATGTGTCATGCATTTTCTGCTAAGTTCCAAAAATGTAAGCTGTTTAACTAAGGACAATTGACCCTTCGCTAAGCCCCGCCCCAAACTTTTGGGCAACCAATCACAGAGGATAGCAACTGTTGTCGAGTCTGACACCTCGGACAAGCTCACATTTCAATTGCATGAAACCCAGTGAGGGCTATGGCAATAAATTATTTTAATGGCTAAATTGAACAGTGTACCAGGAGTACTTGCTACTGTGATTCCTGAAATTCAGAGCCTAAACTTTTGTTACATTGTTTGCTAGCTCAGCTGGTTAGCTAGCTCTCAGTCTCATTGACCACCAAATGTTGCTAACGCTAGCTAGCTACTTAATAGAACTTGTTTTCTCGAAATGTATGTTAGCTAGCTAAGTTAGCAATTTCAAGAATACAACTCCCATCTGCTGTCAACATCAGGATACGATTTGAGAACACTAGTTAGCTCTAAAAGTGGTTATTATATCTTTGAATGCATGCTGACAGTGAATCCAGAGCCATTCAGTGTCTCTGAATTCAGTAAAACAATTTTACCAGGTTCCTGTGAACCAATTGTAATGACAGTCCACCGCAACATACCCAAGAGTTTCCTGATTAGTTTAATTTCATTGTGTATTAGAAACACAGTTTGAGATCATTGCGAGGGGATTTCGCCAGTGATTGAAAGGGGAATTGGGCTTCCCGTGAAAATGTTGTCCGAGGTTGCAACAGTAATCAAGGGGGGCGGGGCTTAGCGAAGGGTCAATTGCTAGAAATGTTCTCCAGCTACATACAGTGCCTTCGGAAAGTATTCAGATCCCTTGACTTTTCCCAAATGTTGTTACGTTACAGCCATATTCTAAAATTGATTAAATAGCTTTTTCCCCTCATCAATCGACACACAATACCCCATAATGACAAAGCAAAAACAGGTTTTTCCAAAAAAAGTCAAATGTATAAACAATCAAAAAAACTGAAATATCACATTTACATAACTATTCAGACCCTTTACTCAGTACTTTGTTGAAGCACCTTTGGAAGAGATTACAGCCTTGAGTCTTCTTGGGTATGACACTACAAGCTTGGCACACCTGTATTTGGGGAGTTTCTCCCATTCTTCTATGCAGATCCTCTCAATCTCTGTCAGGTTGGATGGGGAATGTCGCTGCACAGCTATTTTCAGGTCTTTCCAGAGATGTTCGATCGTGTTCAAGTCCGGTCTCTGGCTGGGCCACTCAAGGACATTCAGAGACTTGTCCCGAAGCCACTCCTGCATTGTCTTGGCTGTGTGCTTAGGGTCGTTGTCCTGTTGGAAGGTGAACCTTCTCCCCAGTCTGAGGTCCTGAGTGCTCTGGAGCAGGTTTTCATCAAGGATCTCTCTGTACTTTGCTCCATTCATCTTTCCCTCGATCCTGACTAGACTCCCAGTCCCTGCCGCTGAAAAAGATCCCCACAGCATGATTCTGCCACCACCATGCTTCACCGTAGGGATGGTGCAAGGTTTCCTCCAGACGTGACGCTTGGCATTCAGGCCAAAGAGTTCAATCTTGGTTTGATCAGACCAGAGAATCTTGTTTCTCATGGTCTGAGAGTCCTTTAGGTGCCTTTTGGCAAACTCCAAGCGGGCTGTCATGTGCATTTTACTGAGGATTGGCTTCCGTCTGGCCACTCTACCATAAAGGCCTGATTTGTGGAGTGCTGCAGCGATGGGGACCTTCAATGCTGCAGACATTTTCTGGTACCCGTCCCCAGATCTGTGCCTCGACACAATCCTGTCTCGGAGCTCTACGGACAATTCCTTCAACCTCATGGCTTGGTTTTTGCTCTGACATGCACTGTCAACTGTGGGACCTTATAGACAGGTGTGTGCCTTTCCAAATCATGGCCAATCAATTTAATTTGCCACAGGTGGACTCCAATGAAGTTGTAGAAACATCTCAAGGATGTTCAATGGAAACAGGATGCACCTGAGCTCAATTTCGAGTCTCATAGCAAAGGGTCTGAATACTTAGGTAAATAAGGTATCTGTTTTTCATTTTTAATACATTTGCAAAAATGTCTAAAAACCTGTTTTCGCTTTGTCATTATGGGGTATTGTGTGTAGATTGATGAGGATTTATTTTCTTTTTTTAATCAATTTTAGAATAAGGCTGAAACGTAACAAATGTGTAAAAGTCTGAATACTTTCCGAATGCGCTGTATGTCATAAACTACTCACTACTGGTGTTGGCTTGGCTATTGATTTCATTAATCAGAAACTCAGCCCTGTTTGTGTTATACCCAATGACGTTTCTGAAAACGAACACCTAATTATGGCATGCCAAGGAAATGACAGTAAATGATTGTATTTTATATCCCAGCATTTACACCACTATTGCCTTAATAATAACAATAAATAACTTGATTGGACTAATAACAGTAAAAGGTTGTCTGTTAAAGACACTGTACTTTTCAATGTCTACAAGTGTCTTTGATAATATTTATACATTCACGAGAACAATAACTAGCAGCCAAGTAAAAATGCAACAATTATGTCCCCCAAATCTGGCTGTAATAGAATTAGTAAACAAGGAACCTCTCATATTAAAATAGCCCCCCCCCCCCACGACATATTTCCTCCACTTTTTCCCCCTTTGTTTCCTTCAGCAGCCAAGAAGATTAGAAGTCAAAACACATTGACGTGAGGGAGAAAGAATTTGAAACAAAGCAGAGGGCAAACTTTTTTCTTTTCTCAATTCCTCCAACTCTCAGTCATCAGTGCGTGTGAGCCGCCTGTCAATCCTCGCTCTGATGCAGTTCTCATTGGGTTTTGGCGTTCTGGGGGAAACGGTGATTGAGCATGTCTGTCTCACAGGGGAATGGGGCAGGGTGGCGAAGGGGTTGGTGTCAGACGGTGGGATCAGTGGGTGCTTGATGTCTTCCTCGCACTGTGATGGACAGACGGGTGGCTCCTGTCCCCCCATGAGCCTCCCCCACCCCTCTAGATTACTTGAACCAACCCTGCCTGTCACACGGCTCCCCCTGGAGGACCCCCTCATCCATTTCGGCCCCCCTCCAGGCGCTGTCTGTCAAATCAGGTTTGGGATAAGACTGCAGAGCTCCGTGTGCAAACATTTGAGGAGGGCAAGCTAGAGAGATTGAAACCAGACTTTTTCTCTTTGCTTTATGTCACAAAACCATGGAGCAGCTGTACAGTGTCTGGCTTCTTTAAGAGTCTCCTGTTCTATACCCGACGTCAGACCATCATATCCCAGGCCCCAACCTCCTGCTTTATGACTTTGACCTCGTCTGTCTACGACTGACAGCTCAATGGGGCTGGAGAGCAACAAGCACACACACACCATAATGTCATCCCAGCGCAGTTTGAAGCAACCCTGAGTATAAATTATTCCCAGATCATACCTCTGTGCATGGGCAAGTATAAGTATGTGTGTGAGAGAGATTGTCTGCACTTTAGCTGGGAAAAGGTATGTGGAAACATTGGTAAAGGACTTGCGTTCTTGTGAATGGTACCGTAGTATGTCTAAACCTCACCCCATCCCCCTACACAGCCCATCACAAAAGAAGGAAGCTCTCGCTCAGTTTCCAATGTTATCACAGGGAGCAGAGACTGTATATTCCCAGGTTGCCAGTGCCCCTCTACTTTGACGGTGAGGGAGAAGGGGGGAGAGAGGAGGAGGAGGGTGGGCTGGTTTCACAGAGACACCCATGACAAACATCCTGCAGGGGACAGGAACCCGGCACAGGGGGAGCATGTCTGTCCTCCGCTAGGTTATTCACATGTCCCCTCTGCTTTCACAGACAGCTCACAGTGGAAATACTGATTTAAAGAGTTTGGCTGTGTGGATTTCAGTAGGCATGCAGCTTATTTCTGCTTGCAGACTGTTGTGCTAATGATGTAACATATGGCAAGACATGTGTAGCAGATTATGTAAATCCAGGTTTGGAATTGATCTAATTTTGCACGTAAGCCCTTGAAATGGTATGACGCCAAGTGCAAGTGCCTTCACTTCAAGAAAGACCAGCATTACTGGCCTAAGAAATATTATAGGCTTACTCTGTGCATTTATGCACAGTATCAGAGACTTGAGATGTGAGCTCGTTGAACCCTACCTCGTGTGACCCCTCATCTCTCTTACCTGTGTCTGCATCATGGCCCTCTCCACCCGCCGAGAGCTGCCCTTCTCCAGCTTGGTCCTTAGACACAGTGCTGTCACTTCCACCGCCCAGAACTTGGGCTGAGACAATATGCACTGCAGGGAGAGGGAAGAAAGACCCGTAAGGACATGGAGATTCAAGACATTCACTTTCATTTCATCATGGACTTTTAGGGACTTCAATCTCAGATTAAAGGGATAGTCAGGTCTCTCAGATAGTGATGGCACACACACAGGCATACATGAAAAAGTTGGCATAATACAGTACAGAAATATGTAGCTATGTGTTTGACATCTTCAACATTCTTCATGGAAATTTAAAATTAACCTTTTACATAGTTTGTTTCTAGAAAACTGTAATCTACTATATAGATCTGACCAAAGCATAAGAACCAGTAACTTAGGAAGCTCTTATGACATAATCAGGAGTTCCCATGGGAATCAAGGTAGGTACAGGAAACCCAGTACAGTGGAGCAGGTAAACTTGATTAGGTCCGCTAACTCCAACCCGAGTGGTATACTACGAAGCAAGCTAGATACTACTCAGGGTTTTATAAAGCTAGCCAGCTTCATTTAGCGTCACATTCCAGGTCAGGCTTCATCCGTACTATGACGGTGGATATTGCTCGTCCGCCTGCAACTAACTCTAGCAGGCTTGTAACTGTGCAAAACTCTTTATTGAGACAATGCTGAAACAGCAATCCATGGGCGAGTCAGTGCCACATTTTCATTTGTGCCGAAATCAAAATTAATGAACGGTTATCTTACAAATTCTGCAGGCTATGGTGTGAAATAGGCTTTTAGAAATGCCGTCTTTATTTTATAACTATAAAAATATATTCCAAAGAAGGGTTTTGGAACCTCTAAACCTGGCAATTTGACTGTTAAACTCAAGGGTACACTAGCAATGGCTGCCAGTCTTGACTTGAACCTCTTTGTGAGAGGGTGATGTTTTTGATTTCATTGGTCCTCAACTCATGGCTTAGACACTTCATTCAGGATAAATGGAGTCAGCCCAGAGTTATAAGTTCTGAAGGATTCGTTGCCATAGAAATTTACCTGGCTAAAAGATGAGCCACTTTTGTATGACCGGTTATTCTGAGTTGAATTCCAAGTTGACCAAAGTTACCCCACTAACTCGTCAAACCCGGTACATAGTATACCCCTCTGGTCCACGGGGTGGGGGGGACTGTTCGGTGTGAGCAAGGACGGAGATGTAGGCGAGGTGGGTCCCACTTCCTGTCTGGGGCAGGAAGCACATTACTCACTGTGGAGTCAGTGTCGAACCCCTTCCTGCCACAGCGACAGTACATCTTGTCTCACAGGACTGAGGTCATGTCTGAGACCGGGGAGGTGGTGGGAGAGGGTGTTTCAACATTACTTGACCTTTCACACTATAGATGGACTTGGTTCCATACTGCGCTGTGTAGGAGACACATGCAGTAGGAATGTGTCACCGCCAGTGGCTAGCGGCTGCCTCAGTGGGAGGCGGAGTGTAAATTTAGAGAGCATGTCCCGGTGATGTTTGCCCAGCCGATGTTCCGCTCCACCCAGTAAAGGAGAGATGGGAGGGGAGCTGGCAGACAGTCTGGGTGTGTCCCATACTGTACATTGACGCCCACTGGAACCTCAGAAGGTAGTGTTTGCACATGTCCCTCAGGGAAGGGGCCCTCTTCTTAGGGACAAGTGAGGCAGGAGGTGCTACTGAGACCTCTGGTCACTTTGTCCTCTATGATGACTGGTTTATAGACACCTGTATGGTTTGGGTCTGACTGGAGACATTGGAGTGGTTGAGACTGTTCCAATGACAAGCCAATTTAGGAAAATTAAAACCCCAAGGAAAGCGCTATTCTGCTATAAAAACAAACACGACCCGATCCCATTTCTTTACAATGACTTCAGCTATAGTACAAGGCTGCCTTACCTTGCAGTTTATTCAAGCAAAGCCATCCTAACAAACGTTGACAAAGAAATAGCTGAGAACACTATAAAATAGTTTGTTTTATAGGGAGGTCGTGTATGTGAAATATCAAATACTATCGCTGTTAACAATTCATCATATGGGGAACAAATTGACAACAATCGACCAATTCAATAAAAAAAATGAAAAAATGCATTTGTTGCCATTGATTTCTGCTTCCTGGGGAGTTTTGAAATGTCTATATTATATTATTAGAGCCCTGTCCCCCCTTCCCTAGCAGGGACCTTTGTGAGACTCAAGACAAAGAGTTTAGGGAGGACGCCAAGATGAGCACAAGTCAGAGCTCAAAAGATAATGAAAGAGAAAGCTGGTAAGGGTATGTTGCTTTTCCAATACATTCCTATGTCTTTGCTTGACAATTTTAAGGGTAACTATTTAGAGAACTTTCAAAATTCAGTGCTCAACTCTACAACAAAAATATAAAACGCAACACGTATAGTGTTTGTCCCATGTTTCATGAGCTGAAATAAATTATCCCAGAAATGTTCCATATGCACAAAAAGCTTATTTCTCTCAAATTTGGAGCACAAATTTGTTTAAATCCCTGTTAGTGAGCATTTCTCCTTTGCCAAGACAGCTGATTAAATAGCATGATCATTACACAGGTGCACCTTGTGCGGGGGACAATAAAAGGCCACTCTAAAATGTGCAGTTGTGTCACACAACACAATGCCACAGATGTCTCAAGTTGAGGGAGCATGCAATTGGCATGCTGATTGCAGGAATTTCCACCATAGCTCTTGCCAGAGAATTGGATGTTCATTTCTCTACCATAAGCCGCCTCCAACGTCGTTTTAGAAAATTTGGCAGTACGTCTAACCGGCCTCACAACCGCAGACCACGTGTTTGGCGTTGTGTGGGCGAGCGGTTTCTGATGTCAACATTTTTAACAGAGTGCCGCATGGTGGCGGTGCGGTTATGGTATGGGCAGGCATAAGCTACGAACAATGAACACAATTGCATTATATTGATGGCAATTTGAATGCACAGAGACACTGTGACGAGATCCTGATGCCCATTGTCGTGCCATTCATCCACCGCCATCACCTCATGTTTCAGCATGATAATGCATGGCCCCATGTCGCAAGGATCTGTACAAAATTCCTGGAAGCTGAAAATGTCCCAGTTCTTCCATGTCCTGCATACTCACCAGACGTCACTCATTGAGCATGTTTGGGATGCTCTGGATCGACGTGTACGACAGCGTGTTCCAGTTCCCGCCAATATCCAGCAACAGCCATTGAAGAGGAGTGGGACAACATTCCACAGGCCACAATCAACAGCCTGATCAACTCTATGCGAAGGAGATATGTTGCGCTGCATGAGGCAAATGGTGGGCACACCAGATACTGACTGGTTTTCTGATCCATGCCCCTACCTTCTATTTAAGGCATCTGTGACCAACGGATGCATATCTGTATTCCCAGTCATGTGAAATCCATAGATTAGAGCCTAATTAATTTATTTCAATTTATTGATTTCCTTACATGAACTGTAACTCAGTCAAATATTTGAAATTGTTGCATGTTGCATTTATATTTTTGTTCAGTATAATAATAACCCGTTAGGGAAGGAGCAGATCAGTAAAGTTTCACACAGAAACATTGTGTGACATATTTAGCCACAAAGGCAATGGATATTTTGTCTCTCATGAGCTCACTTCCTCTGAGCAGAGTCAACACGTGTTTTCCCCTGGCTATCCTGTGTCTGGCCTCTGCGCCATGTCAGAACATGAGACCTGATAGAAATCAGCCAAATTAGTAGCAAACTAATGCTGAGGCCTGGGATAGAAAAACAAGGCAAGATATCCAACCTTCCACTAGACATATCACCAGAGCCCATGGGGTTGAACAGAACAGCAGTATGATGTATGGAAAACAGAAGGTAAGAAATACAATAATAACACCATCAGTATGGTGGTGTACAGACAGGGGGATAGTGAATGCTTTAATGACGATAGTTAGAACAGAACCCCCATGGGACGCCTTTCCTCTATTTTTCCCCCCAACTTCCGTGCCAAGTTGCGAGATGATTATCACAAAGTGACTTCCTCCTACGGGGCCAGAGAAATAACAATATAAGATGTAGTCACCCTCCTCCCACATCGTTCCCGCCTCCACTCGCATCATATCCATGTCGCTATGGCAACACTTCCAGTTCAATCACTCAGCGCCCTTCCCGAAACACTTCCCAGAAGCCCTCAATGGGAGGCAGAGGGTGGATTGGAGATCGGCATTTAGCAGAACACAGCAAACCCTATCCTACCCCAGGTCCCAGCACAGAGTTAAGTGATGTAATAAGTCAGGCTGCCACATCTGTGTAGATATAAGAAAAACACTTTACACATTACGTGCGCGAGCGTTGCAAAATAAATGAACACATACATGTTATTCAATCATTTAATCCAAACCGCTCGCGTGTGTAAACGAGCGTCTGCGTAGCCAGGCGCTAAAATAGAAATTGGTTCTAAAATAGAACTTGGTTCTATTTTTGACGCGTGACACGCTACAAGTCCCGCCTCTCCCATCTCCTCATTGGTTTTTAGGAGCATATACCCACGTGGGTGATTGAAAGATGAACTGAGGTCCACACTCCAGTCCAGTTGGCGGTGGTAATGCACCTTAAAGTTGGTTGCCAACCGCCATATAAAGTCCAAAGAATAAGAAAAAGACAAGGAGGAGAGATTACTAGAAACCAACTTGGTTTACCCTTTTATCTGTGGATTAATTGTCAGAGTAGAGGACCTTGTGCATTTCAGGTAAAATAACAACCCAATGTTTATATCCCAGGACAAATTAGCTAGCAACAGCAAGCTAGCTAGCTAAATTCCCATGAATGTTTCATTTGTTTCGACCTATCCCCAAATTAATATAGTTGGTTCAGAGTTCCTTTTGATATTTCAACCTGCGTGTCCTGATCGCGTCTGGTGTGGCTGGACAAAATCAACATGCACGCGCCCGGTCTAGTCAGCATGTAACAATGGGAGTCGTTGTCCCAAAGGCAGAAAGGCAGGTGACAAGCTTAGGTTCAAAATAAGCGCATAGAAACGCATTGGGCTTATTTTGGACAGATTCTGGCGAGAGTGAAACTTCTCACTTCGCCTCTTTCTCCCAAGCCCCTCCCCCTACCACTCACAACAACAAAGATGAGAGATCACTTCTTCCTCTCTGACAACCAGTTTCCACTCGCTATTTGCATTTGAGGTTTGGTCCAACAGAATCGGACACCGAAACACATGGAGACATGGAGACATTATTTTACTGTAATAGAGAAGTTAACTTTTCTAACCATACCCTTGTTTATGTTTCAACTCCTCAAATTCCGAGCAGACACTACTAAAACAGATGTACCAATGTGTACCAACATTCATTCTGGAAAAAATAAATGCTCAGTTTGTTGCGTGCGCATTACGGTACCACGTTTCGCTAGCAGCATTTTAGTCAAATAAAGATTGCTATACTAACTGTTTAGTCTGTGTTTTATAAATGTGCAATAAGCATTAAAACATTATATAAGGAATTGGCAACTCGTTCTCATTCTGAGAAATAAGGTAGGCCACTTGATTTAAACATCTGAACAAAGTGGACAGGCTAGCAAGCTATTTAAACAGTTCGAGACGGAGAGAAGGTTGTGTTCATAACAATTCAACTGTTTTGCCTTTTGAGCTGAATTCAGAGCTTGTGAAAGTATACCTAGATCCAAGTTGGCTAAACTTGAAATATAAATATTAGCTGCCTACTCACTGGCATGTGGGCTTGTGCTTGAGATATTGTTTATGAGACCGGTGTTCATTTTCTATAATGCCTGCTACATTATTAGTGAATGTGCATTATGCATGGTTCTGGTTAAATGTGTTACAAAAAAGGGCATTTTTATAGACAGACCTGAAAGCCAGATCAGTGATTATTGCAACAACAACAAAAAAAGCAGGTACAACTATTAGTGGGTTTTATGGTTGTTGAAGGCATATATTCAGCCTAGGTATAATTTCACAAGCTCTGAATTCATTAGATTATTGCTGACTGTTGCAGTGTATTTGACCAACTGTAATTGTACAACAATGGTTATTTAGAGAAAACGTTAAAAAAAATAAAAATATTGATATATATCGTGAATTGCCCATAAGTTTAAAAAGAAATGGAGATATGAGTTTTAGGCCATATCGCCCAGGCCTAGTTTGCTGACATCAGGAAAACACTTGACACTGACCTGAGGGTGTGTGGCTCTAAAGAACAGTTGACAAAAATAAACATTTGGCAAAAGGAAGCACTACCATTGCAGAATCACTATTGTGGAATGGGATATTGACAACATCATAATGTTATACATCATTTAACACCCTAAAACCAAGACAGGAAATGGATCAGATTGGCCCTTTTTAAAGCTTTCAACCGTGTCAAAGCTGCCTTAGAGATTTCAAGATCAAAGACATGTAGGGTTGTATTCTTTGGTACAGCCTGAGCTGCAATATTACAATGTCCAAGTATATAAGTTTAATATATTGCCAAACAATAACCAAATAACTCTATAATATAATTTCAGTGACCCAGGAAGCCCTAACATTGACTATGTCGGTTGATAAAAGCTGAGATAATTAAAGGGACCAAGTTAGCTAATTAAGCCAACAGTTCCTCTTGGACGGGAGATAATGTTTTTTCGCCTTTCCTTGTTCAAGCCAAGATCAGACAATATGTCTCATCTCAGATAAGGCTTTATAGCATCACTGTGTCTAATACATCACTGTTTATTTCATTAAAATAAGTCCAAATATATTTTGTATCATTTATTTCCCAGAGCCTGCTTTTGTTATTAAAATGCTCAGTCTGATCGTGTGGGCGTGTTGATACAAATTTAAATCTATTTACATACCCAGCCCTGATTGGCAGATAGAATAGCTCTTATAGGTTAGCTCTTACACTAAAAGAGCATTAGCTACAGTGGTCCTCTGTAGCTCAGCTGGTAGAGCACGGCGCTTGTAACGCCAGGGTAGTGGGTTCGATCCCCGGGACCACCCATACACAAAAATGTATGCACGCATGACTAAGTCGCTTTGGATAAAAGCGTCTGCTAAATGGCATATTATTATTATCATAATTTTCACAATTTCAGTGTTATTTCGACCGCAGTGTGGGAACCAAAATAAAAACCCTGGAAAATCACATTTTTGACTGCACTGCCCCTTTAAAACTAATATCAAGACCTAAGATCCTGAGGTCTCCAGTATGGAGGGGACTTGCATTGACACGACTGTAAGATTGGGATCTTAGTGCTAGCCTGGTGGAATGTGGCCGTTATGAAGAGGCCTTTTTCCACCTTCCCATATATTATGCGATCTGATCTCCATCATCTAAGCTCATCAGTCAGCAGTACAGTAATATGGAGAGGGGAGAGAGAGGTCAGCCAATATGCCACACCAACACTGCTTCACTAGTGTCATCAAGCCTCAATGACCTTATCACACAACCCCACATGATCAAACAACTCATTTTTTTAACCAAGATGACATCTTGGTAACGGTATCTGAAACACCTGTGAAACTGCACAGTACTGTTTATAAAACTGATTAGCTGCCTGGAATGCTAATAAAAATGTTTTACCAGGGTCATTGGTAGAGAATAGACTTTTCTGAATAGTATGTTTGTTGGGCAATGGGCATGCATTTGATTTATATCATAAAGTTGCAGCAATAAACAAATATGCAGGAATAAAGCAGCATGAACTTAGAGCTTGTGTACGAAGTGAACAACAGTAATCACATGATCCCAAATGCGTTTATAAATGGTAAATGAGTCACGATGGCATTCAAATGGGACATTAGCACAACAGAAAATCGTCATCAAGGTAGTAACAACATTAATCATTGGACAATTAAAAGCAAACGATAAGGATGCAGAACATGATTTATTAAACCCATCACACAAACAAGCAATGGGCTTTGGAGCATCTTCTCAACATGGGCTATGAATCGCATGTCAGTATTGTCCAGGAATAGCCTTGAAAAAAACAAACATGAAAATCAATCTTCATGAACATTCTAGGAGATCTTCACAAACAACGAATGCGGAATAGTACATCAAATCAATTGACCAAAATATACAAAAGGTGTGTAGGTGTGTGTGTATCGGTCCTGAGTTAAAGAGTAATGGCAAACTGATTTAGGGGGTGAGGACAGTGCAGTTTCAAATGAAGATCCATCCGTGTTTAATTGGCTGAGCTTGCTTGGCCAACTGCCTCACACTACATCACCCATCTGTGACCTCCAAAGATGCAAATCATGGTGGAACAACTGTCCAGAGACCCAGGCCCATTTGGGACACTGCCAAGGAGCCCAGAGCGCTAAACGGAGTCGACTTGCTCAGCAGCCTGCGTCGTGTTGTTTATTACCTTAATTAAAGCCTTTTCAAAAGGTGTGCTAACGCCGCAGCAGGATGCATGGTACTGATGTGCCTCCCAGCAGCAGTAAGGTAGGTGACGCAAACAGACCCTAGTTTATAGGTGTGAGTGACAGTAATGCAGACAGAGTCTAGGGGAAGAAGGCAGTCTGTTTGAGAAATGGTTGAAAAGATCATGGTCCATTTTAATATTGGTCCATCACATTTTTGAATCATTGAAGTCAAAAGGGTAATTTCAATGGCCTCCAATAGCAAACAGAGAGCAATGAAAGCATACTATAAAAATAACTTGTAAGGATGGATGGTAGGCCCCCTACTTGACCTGGATGGATTGAGCTGTCTGGCTGGTGATGGTGAGCAAGGAGAGCCAGGAAGCAGAAGATCCAGTGCATGGTTTATATTTTAAGGCTCTTGGAGTAGGTGCAGGTATTTACTAAATGTAAAACTCATCCAACAAGATGCTGGACTAGGCTCAAAGTAAAGTAATGAAAATGATAAACTAGACAACTAAAATATAAAGACAGAAGATCAGCCTGACTAGCCCCTCCTGCAGAGACAGTTGTCAATTTTGAACACCCATGAAGCTCTACACCAGAGCATTTATATCCTCCAGTCACTGGCAAAGACCAGGTGACAGGAAACACTTAATAGAAAGTACTTTATAAACACTTAGCAAAGTAAACAATTCTACAATAACAGTTTAGATACGTTCACTCAATCTGTACGATACAGAAATGTATATATAGAATACTTAAAAGATCTGGACTAGAGCAGAAACTCTTTACCCCAATTAGTAATGAGTGTCCCTTCTTAATGAGCAGACCATGGTCACCTGTGCGCTTGGTGGCAACGCCCCTCACAAACATTTTTAAGTACTGCTTTCGACTGGCAAAGAGCACTGCTTTAGACCAGCAACATAAAAACTTTATCTGATTTCCGTCTCATGTCTTCAGTAATTTGTATTCAATGTTTAGAAATTATTTAGAATAGATCAAACACAGGTGACACACTCAACCAAAATTATTATTTGGTGAGGTGACCAAGCAATTATATTACCGTGTATACTGTGAAAATGGACTAGTGAGGAAGCACAGTTAGCTTACTCACACAACCAATTTGTTTTTAGGGATTTAGTAAGATAAAAATTGCTACACAAAGTGGTCATCCAGATAGCTACACCTCCAAAAATACAGACAGCTCCAAGTCTCCAACTACAGCACATTCAAGCTTACACGCTGTGAGTATATACAAACATCAAAGGCAAAGCTCAGTTTTTGGCTATTGACTGGGAATTCCAAACGTTCCCCTAAATTCATCTACTTGTATTGGCCCTGAAGACTTATGAAATAATAGTCTAGCATTAATGCCAACTCTTTTGACACTCAGAAGACTAGAGAACGGCCAGACAATGAGCATGGGAAATTTCTCAATCCTATCCCTGACGCTGTTCAGCAGTCTCAAGCATACTGTAACCAAGATGCTTTCTAATCTGTAATGAAAATAACAATGATGGATGGCATATGTACAGTGCCTTCGGAAAGTATTCAGACCCCTTCACTTTATCCACATTTTGTTACGTTAAAGCCTTACTCTAAAATTGATTAAATCGTTTTTTTCCCTCATCAATCTACACACAATACCCCATAATGACAAAGCAAAAACAGGTTTTGGTCACGATCGTCATACACAGAGGACCAAGGCGCAGCGTGGAATGCGAACATCCTTTTAATTTGAATGATCACACGAACAAAACAACAAACGATACGAAACGTGAAGTCCTTGGTTACAATACAAACCATACGGAACAAGATCCCACAACACACTGTGGAAAACAGGCTGCCTAAGTATGGTTCCCAATCAGAGACAACAAGCAACAGCTGATACACGTTGCCTCTGATTGAGAACCACACCGGCCAACATAGAAACAAATGAACTAGAATATAACCCTAGCACACAAAACACATAGAAACAACACACCCTGGCTCAACATAACAGAGTCCCAGAGCCAGGGCGTGACAGTTTTTACAAATGTTTGCTAATTTAATACAAATAAAAAACTGATAACATTTACATAAGTATTCAGACCCTTTACTCAGCACTTTCAAGCACCTTTGGAAGAGATTACAGCATTGAGTCTTCTTGGGTATGACGCTACAAGCTTGGCGCACCTGTATTAGGGAATTTTCTCCCATTCTTCTCTGCAGATCCTCTCAAGCTCTGTCAGGTTGGATGGGGAGCGTTGTGGCAGCTATTTTCAGGTCTCTCCAGAGATGTTTGATTGGGTTCAAGTCCGGGCTCTGGCTGGGCCCCTCAAGGACATTCATAGACTTGTCCCGTGGCCACTCCTGCCTTGTCTTGGCTGTGTGCTTAGGGTCGTTGTCCTGTTGGAAGGTGAACCTTCGCCCCAGTCTGAGGTCCTGAACACTCTGGAGCAGGTTTTCATCAAGGATCTCTCGGTACTTTGCTCCGTTCATCTTTGCCTCGATCCTGACTAGTCTCCCAGTCCCTGCCGCTGAAAAAGATCCCCACAGCATGATGCTGCCACCACCATGCTTCACCGTAGGGATGGTGCCAGGTTTTCCTCCAGACGTGACGCTTGGCATTCAGGCCAAAGAGTTCAATCTTGGTTTCATCAGACCAGACAATCTTCTTTCTCATGGTCTGAGACTCTTTAGGTGCCTTTTGGCAAACTCCAAGCGGGCTGTCATGTGCCTTTTTACTGAGGAGTGGCATCCGTCTGGCCACTCTACCATAAAGGCCTGATTGGTGGAGTGCTGCAGAGATGGTTGTCCTTCTGGAAGGTTCTCCAATCTCCACAGAGAAACTCTAGAGCTCTGTCAGAGTGACCATCAGGTTCTTGGTCACCTCCCTGACCAAGACCCTTCTCCCCCGATTGCTCAGTTTGGCCGGGCGGCCAGCTGTAGGAAGAGTCTTGGTGGTTCCAAACATCTTCCATTTAAGAATGATGGAGGCCACAGTGTTCTTGGGGACCTTCAATGCTGCAGCCATTTTTGGGTACCCTTCCCCAGATCTGTGCCTTGACACAATCCTGTCTCGGACCTCATGGCTCGGTTTTTGCTCTGACATACACTGTCAACTGTGGGACCTCATATAGACAGGTGTGTGCCTTTCCAAATCAGCAGCAGCAAGAGCGACAACCCACACATTCCACAAAGCATAGCAGTCTCTCTCCGCTATCTCATTTCTTACAATACATCTTTAATAATCCTTTATATAAACGCCAAATAAAATAAAGCCACAATACATCAGTGACTTCATGAGAAAATTGGGAAATTACTGTTGTTGTTGCTCTGTATTTTTTTTAAACAAGGAAAAATAATTGACCATACAGTAGGGTTGAATAGCAAGATTTACCGCCGAAAATCGACTCCCTTTTCCCGGGATAAATAACAGCGAGAAAGCGGTAAATTATAATACATTATTTCTATGAACAGCATGATGTGAAATGGAACTGTTAAATTATGAAATGTCTAAATCTGGTTTCTCTACGGCCTTCTCTCTGCATGATCAACCATCAATGCTCAGGGTGGGGACAGACAGCGCATCTCAGTAGGCTATGGAGAGAAGTCCACAATGCATGTATCATCTTATCATGGTAACTTTTTTTTCTTGTGACAGGTAGGCCTACATTTGCTGCAGCATAGACTATGCTACAGTAGGGTAATATAAGGACTAATTTAAACATCTCCATCTGGCTTACGGGGTCACCTTACTTTTTCATTGTAAAGAAAAATATATATTTGCAGCTGCAGAGTTGGGGAAAAAACTGCCTATCACTCGAATATCATTGTTTTAAATCAGTGCATACTCTCTGTCGCTCTCCCTCCATCAATTCCATTCAAATTGCATGCTGTTCAAGATTTATATATTATTTATGTAGGTAGGTAGAGATAGATAGATGTCCTAGCCTACAGTGAGGGGAAAAAGTATTTGATCCCCTGCTGATTTTGTACGTTTGCCCACTGACAAAGAGATGATCAGTCTATAATTTTAATGGTAGGTTTATTTGAACAGTGTGAGACAGAATAACAACAAAAGTTGAATCAGCCCAGAACTACACGGGAGGATCTTGTCAATCATCTCAAGGCAGCTGGGACCATAGTCACCAAGAAAACAATTGGTAACACACTACACCGTGAAGGACTGAAATCCTGCAGCGCCCGCAAGGTCCCCAAGCTCAAGAAAGCACATATACAGGCCCGTCTGAAGTTTGCCAATGAACATCTGAATGATTCAGAGGAGAACTGGGTGAAAGTGTTGTGGTCAGATGAGACCAAAATCGAGCTCTTTGGCATCAACTCAACTCGCCGTGTTTGGAGGAGGAGGAATGCTGCCTATGACCCCAAGAACACCATCCCCACCGTCAAACATGGAGGTGGAAACATTATGCTTTGGGGGTGTTTTTCTGCTAAGGGGACAGGACAACTTCACCACATCAAAGGGACAATGGCCATGTACCATCAAATCTTGGGTGAGAACCTCCTTCCCTCAGCCAGGGCATTGAAAATGGGTCGTGGATGGGTATTCCAACATGACAATGTCCCAAAACACACGGCCAAGGCAACAAAGGAGTGGCTCAAGAAGAAGCACATTAAGGTCCTGGAGTGGCCTAGCCAGTCTCCAGACCTTAATCCCATAGAAAATCTGTGGAGGGAGCTGAAGGTTCGAGTTGCAAAACGTCAGCCTCGAAACCTTAATGACTTGGAGAAGATCTGCAAAGAGGAGTGGGACAAAATCCCTGCTGAGATGTGTGCAAACCTGGTGGCCAACTACAAGAAACGTCTGACCTCTGTGATTGCCAACAAGGGTTTTGCCACCAAGTACTAAGTCATGTTTTGCAGAGGGGTCAAATACTTATTTCCCTCATTAAAATGCAAATCCATTTTGACATGTGTTTTTCTGGAAAAATATAAAAAGAGGTGTAATAACAGATACTCTATTAAGTCTATGATTATACCCTGGCATGACAATCTAATCCGGACAGTCTTGATCCGAACTACATAAATAGCCTATTTTGTGAAGCTTGACCTTCTAAAACACATTTGGCTCAAATCTCAGCCTAAAGGCCTGCAATCTAGGAACCTCCACAATCAGAAGACAGCGGCTGACAACAATGCCAGACAAAAATTGCAGTTCTCTGATTCGTCTAAACATTTGGTGGTCCCATTAATGTGCTGGAAAACTGTGCCTAGAAGTGGCAGCAGCAATAAAAGCTTTTCATTTCTGATTTATGTTCAATGACTTTACAGAAAAGTGTGTGTTGAGTGGGGGAGGGGGGCACTTGTAGGGCAGGTTTAATGGAGGACAAATCAGAGAGGTGGAGATGGCCTCAGTGCCGTGCTGACTCGAGGACGTATCTGTCTAAGTCTGGAAGTTTGGGGTATGGCAGCAGCCGCCCGCCACACAACTGGAGTCTCTAATTTGAAGAGACAACGCAGCAGTCACACTCCAATTGCATCTCACGACCCTCACGACGCCCTGGCTCAGACCGAGGGGGACACGCTTTGTTCTGCTGAAGTTATTTCCCGGCGATGAGGGGGGAGGAATATTTTGATTTGAGGTGCTGGGCATGGTGATCAGAATCAAGGCGACATGAGAGAACAGAGGAAATGTAACCTCCCGGATGCATCCTGTGGCCATATCAAAGTGTTCAGATTAGACAAAAGTGACAGTGTCAGAGGAAAAACAGTCAACCACTGTGAGTTACATCTTAAACGTATCTACTGCATATCGAGAACGAGTAGCCCAATGCAAATTCTTGATGAAAACGGTACCAAAGTTTGAGAACTGAAATGTGCAAATATACTTGCTTCATAGACCAACAACTTAATCTGCTAATAAACTT